CCACTCAAATAAGTACGTAATTGACCGACGTATCTTTCTTTGTAAGTTACACGAGAAACAGCCACCAAGTTGTCGACTGGTCAGTGGTCGGAACCGTACCTCACTCGATCTGGAGTCAGCCAGGGAAGTAATTTAGGGCCTTTGGAGTTTATTTATTTATTTATTTTTTTTGGATTTTATTTTAATGGTGAATGACCTACCGGACGTAATTAGGTAAGCTACTTGCCTCCTTTCCGCTGAAGATCTGAAGTTAGTACTTGAATTAGGAAATTAATAGACTGTGAGCTTTCGCAAGGGACCAAAAAGACTTGCTGCCTGCTGCAGAAGAGGCAAGTTTGACCCCTATGCAACGCACATGGTCGAACTTTGGTCTGCTTAACACTGTTTTGCACTTCTTGGCGGCGTTATTAAAAGCTTTCTTCAGATTCCGAGTACTCGGAGCTTTGCGCAGTCGAGTATCTGCCCAAGCTTGGTACGCCGACTGTTTTTGTGCTTCAGCACGGCTACAGTCAGCACTAAATCATGCACGAGCTTGGGGTCCATTGGCTACATCAGAGTATGGTATGTAATACTTCATACCCAAACGCAAGATCTCGACTACAACATCAGCACAGCTCGACGAGTCTCCTGAAGAAAAGCAAGCCTGCCTATGATGAATATATGAAGCAAAGAAATGGCGCATTTCGTCCCAATCTGCTAACTTGTATCGCCACTTCCGTCTCATACGACTAGAGCCCTTATCGGGTGGTGAGTATACGGATACAGCTTTCACTAGACAGTGGTCGGAAGTGCCTAATGGGTGGATACAACCACAGAGTATCGGTCTGGATCAGTTGTTAGCAAAAGGTCTAACCAATTAACCGTATGTGACTCATCACTGTGGTTATTTAATTAGCTTCGTCTATCACCTTAGGTATCATATGATATTATATGAATCATAAGCACGATCAACTATCGTAGATTAAAAATTATTATTGATCTAAAAGTTGATCACGTATCAGTAAATGTAAATAACCCTACATTTTTTTGTAGTTTTTATCAACTAGACAACATTAGTGATACCAGTGAGCATAAATACAATGTATAATATCATTGAATGATACAGTGATAGACATTTAATACGGTTTGTTGAAAGTGGGCCATTTATATGACTTTTAATAATTCATACTTAGCTTATAATATACAGTGTGTAAGCGACATATTAGACATATAAATAATTTTGTCCTATTGTAATTATATTTTTGTAATATTAGAGCACTATTTATATTAAAGAGTATATTTGGTCATGAGTATTGTTTCCGTTGCTACATTGTTAGGTTGGTAGCGCCAGTAGCTTTAGTTGATGGCGCCACAATACACTATATTGGTGGCGCCAAAAATGCAGCCCTACCAAAAAGCTCCCACCATACTGCTAACGTTTCTTAATTTGTGATACTCGATTGCTCGACATTCTGTTTGTTGGAGTCTCAGAGGACAGTGCCTCTCATCTCGCTTTACCGTGCTATTTTATCATGCAAAGTGTATAATTGTAATAAGTCTTCATATCAATAAACGAAGAACACAAGGAGTTGGAATTTTATTTCTGAAACTTCCTAATAAGTGTGAATCATAGTGAGTCACAAACTCAACGTCATCAACAGATTTATTATTTAAATTTGTAACGATTTACGAATTTTATCATTTTGGTGTACTTGTTTCTGGCCTTATTCAGAGTGGCGGCGGGCGCGAAACGCGGATGGTGTATCTCAGATAGAAGTGGTTAGTTACCGTGCGACGCGTGCCAACTATAGGTCTCGAAAGACCTGTCTGAACTCAGTCCGCTATTTACGCTTTGTAAAGTATGGTTGTGTCATTCTTTTGTGCAAATTCTCTAAAATCCTAGAAAAATGCCTTATTGTGCTGTTTTAGAGTGCGAAAATGGTAGTCGCACCAAAAATATTACCCGTGGTGGTATTTTATATCATCGGACAGTCTTATTTAAAAAAAATTTCAATTGTATTTTTTTGTTACGAGAAACGAAAGTAGGTAAACCTTATACTGTTCAACGTCGATTTCTAAGAATGCTTTGCAGTAGACTTGAGTTGAGATGTAAATTATTGGGTTATGAAAGCTGACTCAATAAGTTTAAGGTAGAAACCCTTGCCCGCCGTCGAGTTACCAGTGACATATGTACATTGCACAAACTAGTTAATGGTGGATTTGGTGACATTATTGGATAAGATCTGCATAAGGGTGCCAACTCGTTCAATTCGTTGACCTCAATTGTTTGCTAATCAAGCTTTAGTAAGTACTAATGTTTGTGCAAATAGTCCAATTTACCGAATGTGTAGAGCATGCAATGATATTTGTTGAACCATGATATATTCCGTGATAGCCTTTCCGCATTCAAAAAGTTCGTCATTAAGCGACTCATTTGAACCATTTTAAGACCTTCTATTTTTTTAATCCTTCTGTATTGTTGTTATTGTTTCCTTTTTTATTTTTTTGTTCATAAGGTCGCATAATCCATAGTTTTCTGAATGCTGTGTACAGTTATAATTGGGATGCAGATTTACTGATGTTTTTTTTTTAAATAATTTAGTTTGAAAACAATCTGTAATCTGTAATTTGTACCATTACAATAAAAATAAAATACCACTGCAATAAGGTCACTTCTTATTCGGAAAACTAAATTAATAACTCCAATTCGCCGTCGTTCAGCAATGATCCGCTAGATGGCAGCACATTGATTGAAATTCAATATAATATCAAAACGTCGTATCTTGTATTAATAGGTATTGATGGTATTCAACTTTCAATGAACAGCTGACAGGGTAAAGTTTGAATGTGTTTAAATTTTATTATATTAACAATCCAGAATTTGTTATTTCTTTTTAATTTCATATTACGACCTTTCAATATCAAGGTTTTGTAGTGTTTCAAATTAAGAACGTGTGAGTTTTGGCGACATCGGTTCTAATAGTAATCGAAGCCTTTGGCACTTCCATTGCTTTACGACGTGTGGATCTACCCGCTCGTAGCCGCTTCGGCACTGTGAACGGGAAGACGCAAAGATCCGCGCGCCAGCACCCGCTGCCGCGCCCGGGCCTGCACTCTGAATGAGCCCTTAGCTATACGGTAGCAAATCGTTTCTTCCGCCTCCCGTCAGCAAGTCTCATCGGCAGAATTGAGAACAACGCATAGTATATCGTAGCAAGGTTACAATTACACTAACTAACACGGTACTTATCTTGCATCATCATGCAGAATATAATCAATGAGATCAAGCGAATCTAGACTAATTTTAAAAGGGACCCGTCGGACCACAACACGCGGAACACACACACAATATTTCAAAAAACGTTCCTCTAACCGTCCATCTACAACCCATGCGGTGAGTCCAAGCAAAATAACAAATATTTGGATCAAGCTGAAGACAAATCATCAGAGTATTTTATATGTTATCACGTCTTAGATGATAAACTTTTATCAGACTTAGATCTATATAAATGCGGATAGCTACGAGACAGCGTGGGAAATATTGGAACATCGATACAACAATCCTCAACTAATAGTACGAAACTGAGAGATTCTACTCAATCAACCAAATGTTCATAAACAGTTCTCTTATGAGCTGAAGAAGTTGTATCATACATGTTGACATACGGTGTGGATATAATACGGGGAAACCATTAGTAGTTCGTCTCTTATCAAAGAACCTGGATACTGACACGGAGGTACAGTGATTACAAGTAGTATCGGTAGGCACCGCGTAGTACTGTATTGGAATTTATTCATGGAAGGACGGGAAATTCACGACTAGTATCAAAACCCTACACCAAAGTGACAAGCCGTTCTTCTACAAAAACCATTTGGGCATTTCTCCTAGAAGGGCTAAGTTCTCTGACTTCGGTGGTCGAAATTTTTTTTCTTAATTTCAGGAGAAACATTGAGCGGGAAGGAAAAAGAACTGAAACTTACATAAGATTCCGTAAATTGGGCAACTAGATTTTTAATACTTAACGAAATATTGTATATAATATAATATCGTATACACCGCATTAAAAAATCAACCTGGAAAAAAGCAATCTTGGTATTGTAATAAAACTATTGTCTAGTTTATTGTGAAATTCAGATTATAAGTATTATCATCTTTATACGTGAACTAAAGTCTAATATTGATAGACGGTTTCAATTTTGAGAAAAATGACGTTTTGTGTTGGTTTCTGATTTCGGGACACTCCAACGTTGTCGTGTTTTTAGCACTTTGGATTTTTTCCGTTAGGTTCGAAAGGTTTATTTGGACGATTTTGTGCTCTCCAGTTAACTTTCGACATACACTCTATTTTGCACTCTATTTTTAGTACATTTTTGTTTTGATAAATAAGTGGAGTTTAGAGCATGGACACAGAAAATTGCGGCTGTGGAGAAATGCCCATTTACGTTCAATGTAAAGTAATATAGTACTTGGTACTTGGTGCAACGGGCTGGTATAATAAATAATAATAATATAGTACTTAAAAAAACAGTGACTCGTCAAAACTGACATCATAAAAATACAGAATGTTTAGGAAATGAATCTATTCTTCGGATACAGAGCGACTGAGTCATCCGTGACCATGGGACCTGCAAAGGGTCCGAAACGTAGGTTCGTTTGAAAAAAATAAATTATACGCGATTTAGATCCGAAAAAATAGTTTCATTTCCTATGTGTAACAATCGCGAAAACCTAACAACTCGATAAATACAGAATGTTTTTTCACATTTGATCGATTCGATTGCCAGGTGAGGCAAGCAACTTTTTAAAAATCTTTTAAAAATAAAATAATGTATATCCTATCTTCAATACTTCAAGCACTTTCCCTCCATATCACATAGACGTGGAGTCCCTGTATAATACCTACACTCTTAGCGTAATTAATATTCTAATTTTTAAGTCGTGTAGATAAGTGACGACTACACTATGTGCGAAAAATCTGTCAGGTTTTGTTTTATTTTAAAATTAAATAAAAAATAAATACCGAATCCGCTCAACAATGACAAGTTGCGCGGACGCCACCAGCATTGGCAATACCAGCAACACCACGAGCGTCCGCAACGCGCCCATGTCGTAGTCACTATTACTTATTAAACCGCACTGCCTGCTGCGGTTGCTGCTGGGCGTAAACTGACGCGAGGGCAGAAGTACATTGATACCATATCGGCAATATATCGGTAGATAACGCTGATCGGCGCGGATGACGCGATACGGTCTATTTGCCGGAATTCATATTATCCAAGTCATTTCAATTTGCGATTTGCGTTCTATTTATAGATTTATATTTACACCTTATTCACTACTTACTTTTTCGTATACATAAAAAAGTTTAGATAAAAAATTTTTTGGCGCGTATTTAATTAGGTTTAATCGTTTAACATTTAATATTATTTTTATTACTAAGATAAAGGTGTCTTTGCCTGTGCCATGACCATAAAGTTCTGGCCAATTCAATTGACCCTCATATGTGTGATGTATATTGAAAGTAGTTCATTATAAATGTTATGTGGGTTACGAGACTGGTCGTCCAATAAATGTCATCGTGCGAATACGTAGTTTTACTGGCTCCCTAACCTTAGGTCTTCTGTATAGCCTAGGTAGTCTAGTTTCTTCAGTGGCGACGAGAATACGGACTTACGGAACTGTGAGTGTCATAATATTTAAAAAAAGTCGGTCGGTAAAATTTCCGAGTTCAATGTTCGGTCGCACAATTGGCGGAATACATGGAACGCCTGGAATAATATTTCATTACGAATAATATTGAGGAAGAGTTGAGAGTGCCCACGTTAATCACAGTGATCGGTGCGGAATGTTATGAACTGTTAGTAGACCTATGTACTCCGGCCAGGCCTTCAAAGTAAACGTTCATATAATTAGCGAAGGTTCTAGAAAAACGTTTACAACCTAAACCGAGCATACTAGCAGAAATATACAAGGCATCGAAAACAGAATTGTGATGAAACAGTGTCCGATTACGTGGCGGTTTTAAAAAAATGTCTAAGACATGTGAATTCGGAACCTGGTTAGAGGAAAGTTTGAGGGACCAGTTTGTGTGCGGTACTCAGTGCGAGACAATACGGCAGCGTCTTTTTACTGAGGACGACCTAGATTGCGCGAGGGCCTATCGTTTAGCGGCCAGCATGGAGGTGGCGGAGAAGAACGCAGCGGCGGTCCAGGGCCGTTCGGTGTACAGGGCGTGAGCGTGGTCCACGTGCAACAGGCAGGGGCACCTCCGATGAGTTTGCCCCTTCATGACGGGGCATCACAACGTGGACGTGACGGAGTCGGTGGACGACGAGTCCGCACAAAGTGAGGGCAGTGAGGAGGTAATTGTCGTTGGAATTAATCAATTATCATTAGGGCTATACCATAGATATCTATGGGCTATACAGAAGACCTAATGTTAGGAAGCCAGTAAAATCCTAACGGAAATATATGTAGTTTTAGCGACATCTGTCGACTTTTAAACTCTCTGTTTGTAAAATTGCTGGCTGTATGGTATTCGTGGTCTTATTTTTTTATCGTATGTACAACACAAAACAACGTGTACTTATTAATTTTTGGGTTGTGACAGCAACTTATTGGAATACTGCCGTTATTAAGTAGTGTTTGTGTTAAGCAAGTCAAGTGTATTCGTGTACGCAGTGTTTGTGTGGAAAACCACATCGGCGTGTGACCGGCACACCCAAGAAATCTGAAATGTCTGCAAGAGTAAAGGGGACGTGGACAAATCGAACATCCTTTTAATTTAAAGTAATTTCAAAGTAATAGGTAAGCAGTTCTATTTTTTTCTATTTCTTTCTTTTATTCTCCCGAGTGCCAATGACACGAACGCCACCTGTGGGGCGATAGATGTACTAACGTCATTCACTTGCTTAGGGTTGTCGCAAGTTTACATCTGGGCGAAAATTTTTCAACTGCTCCGACTTTACATTTAAAGTAAATAAAACTCATGTACGAAGGCTGCCCGATAAGTACTTAGCCTACAAAAGAAAAAGGAAAATTTTGGAAAAGTGGCGATTTATTTTTCGACGTAGTCTCCTTTTAGCTCGGTACACTTGACCCAGGGATGCTCCAACTTCTTTGACCCGTCTGAAAAATGTATATAAATGTTTAAATATTTGTCGAGGTCTGCAAAATAGGCCTCCGTGGCGGCGATAACTTCCTCATTCGACTCAAATTTCTGCCAGGCGAGTGACATTTTCAAGTTCGGAAACAAAAAGAAGTCACACGGGGCCAACTCTGGAGAATACGGTGGGTGGGGCAGCAGTTCGTAGTGCAATTCGACCAATTTGGCGGTGGCGACAGCGGAGGTGTGAGCCGGCGCGTTGTCATGGTGGAAGAGCACTTTTTTCTTCGCCAAGTTTTTTCTGCAATTCGGCGTCAAATCGGCCCAATAGTTCGGCATAGTAGAGCCATGTGATCGTTTTTGCCCTTCATCAGTTCTCACGGTTGCGTTTGTTGTCCGGAGTCAGCAAACGAAGCACCCATCGCGCCGACAGCTTTCTCATACCCAAAATTTGATGCAAGATATGTCGCGGTCTTTTGAGATGCCTACGGTCTCAGCTATCTCAAGTACCTTCAATAGGCGGGCTGCCAACACGAGATCGTGAATTTTTGTCACGTTATCCTCCGTAGTAGCCGTTTGCGGGGCACCTGAGCGTGGCTCATCAAAAACAGACGTGCGACCACGTTGAAACTCGTTACTCCAATTTTTGATGGTCGCCATCGAAGGAGAAGAGTCACCGCACACAGCATCCAAGCGGCCTTTGATTTCACTGCGCGATTTTCCTTCCAAAAACAAGAATCGAACCACCGACCGAAATTGCTCGTTTTCCATTTTTCTTTTTTCACTTTTTTTCAAATTTCTTTGCGATTTCGGGCCTATTGGACGATGAGGCCAAGTACTTATCGGACAGCCCTCGTATCCATATAGGGTTCTTAACGTGATACTTTCGGGTTTGTCGGTCATTCCGTTCCACCCGGTGTATAAGTAATAAAGAAATATATTCTATTTCCTCAAAATGCAAATGAATGCTATGGTCGATACGACGACGACATTTACAGGATTGACCAGTAGAGGGTCCTATTGCCATGCCGAGTCAATGACCGCTATTGCCATGCCAAATGGCGCAAAATATATAAGCCAACGTATCTATGTCACTGTATGACCTACGTGCATCATAACAGTAGAAGATACGTGCCGGAGGCGGTAAGTGTTTTGTTGCTTAAACGCTTATTACACTACCCGATTTCAAGGGACTAAGTACGTCTAAAATTCTGCAGATGTAATGGGAATTAGGGAGTTAGGGGACCCGAATGAGGGCTACTTATATATAAGTTAATAATATAGGAGCGGCACAGTAACTACAGGCCATGTCCACCCTTGACGGAGGGCCCTTGGAATCGGGTTGTATATCGATTTAGGTACGGTACAACACGATACACTACCGTGAGCGACAGGCAGTGTTGCCAGGTCTGCTGTTTTTCCAATAAATCTACTGTTTTTGGCCGATATCTACTGTTCTACAGTTATTTAACGAAAATGTACTGTTTTTATAAATTTTCTGATTTTTCACTTTTTAAAACGATTCTTGACGGCTTTTTTAGATTTTATGAATCGTCTATTCAATTTACGACGTCGTCGTACTTTATGTTTTTGGAATTAAAGTGTAGAGCACGCTTAAATAAAACCACAGACAACAGATGGTCCATAGTCCGTTGGCTAGAATATCTCTACCGCGTGAAATAATAGCATAGAACATTAAGAACAAGTATGGTAACTCCGGACGAACGTCGCAGCTCGGCTTGTATGAGTGCGCGCTCGCCACACGCCGTGTACGTACGCACATATTTGCATAAACTAAGGGCATAGTAGAACAAAACAAGTAGAGCAACTCCGTATAAAATAACAGCGCGGCTTGTATGTGTGCGCAACAGTCGCGCGTCTTGTACGGACGCACACGCGTACAATGGCGCGTTGAGACGACCAGTGTTGACAACGCTAGAGCAACCTTAGAAATAGGCAAGAAGATGAAATAGCCAAATGGTTTCCACGGCAGTTAATGCATATAGCATTAGCGTGATCTACTATGCAGACTTTAAAGCTGTGACTCTATGAACATATTGAACATTTTTCGGAGTCTTTGCAAAACTTGGCAACGTGGCCAAATCGCAGAACATCGTCCCCTTTTCGCTTTTTTTTTCTATGATTGGCAAATATACCGTATTTGCCAATCATAGATCTAGATAATGCGGGGAAAACTATATAAAGTAATATTTTCTATTTTCTAAAAATACCTAATATTTTTAAAAACGCGCCTTTCTTTTTCAAATTCCCCGCCGTTTCTTTTTCTTAGCGATTGTATTGGAATGACAGCTGTCAAACACAACATTGAGATTCCCGCTAGGAGTAATAAAAGATAAAAAATTTAAGATTTCAACATCTTAACATCAAAAACATTAAGTAGGCGCTTTTTTCTTTGGGCAGTAATGTAAAAATTACAACTTTTTTATAAAAACATTTTTTTTTTAAGTGGCATTGTATCTATTTGCCAAATTTTATGTTGAAATCGGATACCGGAAAGTGCACAAAACCGGATTCATCCCCTAGTTTGCCCTTAGAGTTGTAATATTTTCTTCAAATTGACTTGGTACAGTCAAGAGCACATCAAGCTTGACACTTTGTACTAGATATGAGCGCCTTTAATAGAGGTGGCGGCGGCGTCGTTTCGGCGGCGCGAGCGCGACCCTAAAACGAATTTGTATAACGGTATTTGTAAAAACAAATACCGTTATACAAATACCTTTTCAAAGGAAAAAATAAAATAACGTATTTTCTATAGTAATCAAATTTTTATGAGTTCGAGCAAGCTGGCTGCACTAAGGCGCCAATTCGCATACGTCAAAAAGAGGTACTTAGAACTCTGCGGAATCTAGACGTGAATAAAGCTAGCGGGCCAGATGGAATTCCAGCACTAGTCCTACGTAACTGTGCGCCTGAGTTGTCTCCTGTTCTCATACGCCTACGCCTCTACCGCCTCTCACTTGAGACTGGTGTAGTTCCGAGGTCGTGGAAGCTTGCAATCGTGCAACCTGTGCCGAAAAAGTGAAGCAGAGCTGACTCTGTCAACTATAGACCTATCTCAGTCACTTCCATACTCAGCAAGTCTATGGAAAGTGTACTTAACAACCGTCTCCTGTCGTACCTTGAAGACAACGACCTCCTCAGTGATCGCCAGTAGGGATTCCGATGAGGGCGATCAACTGGGGATCTTCTTGTGTATGCCTGTCACATATGGAGCGAGGCTATAGAAAAGCAAGCACTTGAGTGTCTTTGGATATTTCTAAAGCCTTTGACAGGATCTGGCACGCAAGCCTTTTAAGTAAGCTTCCCTCTTATGAGCTTCCCACTGATATTTGCAATTGGATCTTTATAGGTGAAAGTTTATAGGTGACTCGGAATTATTGGAGGCGAAGCTGCAGAACCTTGAACACCGCCGTAAAGTTGCCTGCGTATCGGTATTTTACAGGATATATCACGGAAAGTGTGCGATGGAATTACACGATTTAATTCCGCTTTAACCTTTCCATCACCGGGGGACTAGGTGTAGGCTTGGGTTCCACCTCTATGTTGTATGGCGAACGGCTATGGAGTGGAATTACGTGCCTGCAGACTTGTTCCTTGAATGTTATAACTTAGGCCTTTTCAACGCAAAAGTGAATAAGCAATATTTAGGTGTGCATGCTCCATCGTCGACTTCATCGTCACTTTCCATCAAGTGAGATGGAGGTCAAATGCGAACATACATTTAAACAAAAATATATATATTAGAAAAGTCATTTTCTGGCTCTCGTGCTCTTGATCCTGTACCAATACTCAGGTACCTATCCTCTTTCCAACAAAAAAAAGAATTATCCAAATCTGCTCACAAACCGGAGTTATCGCGTAAGATACATTAAAAAATCTACTTGAGAACCTCCTTTTTTTGAAATCGGTTAAAAATAAACATTAATTGTTTATTTCAATGTTTAAAGAAAATCGATTTAAAGTGTTTCCAGGTAAGTTCAGCATCTACTGTCTTTTTTCTTCAATCTCTTGGTTTTTTTTTGGTGCAATATCTTCAGATTTGACCTGGCAACACTGGGAACAGGGCTCACCTTCTGTTGAAATAATACTCAACGGTCGACTGTACAGTTTTAAGATTTAAATTTAAAATGGTTTATTGTTATTTATTTAAAGCTAGTGTTAATCTTAACTACTAAACACAGCAGAGACAATAGTGTGCCTTAAACGTAAGTATAGGAATTTTTAAAAGACTGCGATATCGGTTCGCTTGACGGCGGACAGCCCGTCGTCCCAAGTGAGCAGCGCGTTGAAGGAGAGGTACAGCGCCATGGCGGACAGGAAGTGCCAGAGGTCGTGTGCGTCGTAGAAGCGCAACACTTTGCACTCGTGGTTCAAGTCGCGCGAGGCGGCGGCCGTCGTCGACCACTCGGTGCTGCCGTACATAAAGAAATAGAGGGCGGGAGCCCACGTCGCCACCGCGCTGCCTAAAAACAGCCACGAGTACCAGCGCAGGCGCTCGCCGTGCAGCAGTTTCATGACCAGGTAGAACAACATGTACATGAACGTATTGCACAGTAGCACGTACAGCATGTGCCCCGCGAAGTCGGTCGCCATCGTCACCATGCCGTACACGGCAAAACCCCAATTAACGGCATTGGCGATCAGCAGTAGCGCCAGTCGCGCGCCATACAGTGGTCTCCCGCCGGCCGGCAGTTCGCGCAAGCCACGCGTCGCCTCCGTCAGACCGTGCTTATCCAGCGTGAACTGCCCCACGTAGTAGATATGCAGCGACAGTAGCAGGATTGTGAATATGTGGAGCACCGTGAACACGGCCCAGAAGATGGCGTTGCCGCCGATCACGCCCCACACCACTGCCACGAAACACGCAATTAGCAGATGTTGTTTTTTCGCGAAACGGGAGCGGAGGCCACTCACCTAACGCGATGAGGACGGCCAGCACACCGAAGGTGGCGTGCGCGCGCGCATTGATGTCGGGGTGTCGCGACTGGTAGATCGTCACCATGCTCAGCACCATCAGCACGTACATGAACGCCGTGTCTGCAATATGCGAGGGACCGCGTGAGCCGAGGGGGATGGCGAGGGTCAACGCATGGTCACCATTTCTCACCGAACTGGAAATTGAGCCGGTTGGGGCACACGTGGTAACTGGCGGAGAGCACTCCGACCACCATGATGCCTACGCCCAGCGATTCCAGCATCCCGTAGTGCTCGGGAATACCGTATTCCTGCGGAAACGGTGCGGGTGAGAGTGACTGTCGAGCGTTAACACGACGCGCGTTACTCTTCACGTTACGCACCTCGTGTCGCGGCCGGCGTCTGCGTCGAGAACGACGCCGGCGTACTTGGATCACGAACAGCATGCCCAGCAGCAGATAGCCGAGGTTGGAGAACACGTGGTTGAAGTCGGAGAGCCCGCCCGCAGGGTTGGCGCACAAGAAGTTGTAGTAGCACAGATCCAGTGACCCCGACACGTTCAGGATCTACGAGGCACGAATTGGCGTTTAGTTCGATTCGGAGGAGAAACGAGGCCGTGGCCGGGGTCGTACTGACAATCTGGAAAGTGACGACGAACTGCAGTACGGGTAGTGCGTAGAAGACGGCGACGGTGAACAGCGTGGACAGGTAGCGGTCGGAACGCGCGATGAGCGTGCGCGTGTGCCGCCGCGCCAGCGCCGCCACGTTGAGCTTCGCTGGCAATCCGAACGGCGTCGGCGACGCCTCTGCCGTCTGCGGCTGTAGGGCAAATTGTTTCAAGGGGATTTGGTGGCTGCATTATAGACAAGTGGGAATATCCGATGCATGCGAATAGAAGTTGGAAAGAAGGGTGCGAACCTGTTCGCGGTCGCCGTCACCCCCGATGAAGCGGGCTGCAGCGCCTGCATCGGTCGGCGCCGCTGGAGGTTCCTCGTCAGAATTGCTGTCGTCGCAGCTGTCGAGTGTAGCGTCTGAACATAATTTACACCATTACACGTCAATTTTCTTTATATTTGCCATTATAACGGAATGTTACAAGTATTTGTAAATAATTAACGCTCTGGTAAAAATGTAGAAAAAATATATTGTACTTTTCATATAAGTGAAAGTGAGTTCCCGCTATAGGGAGTTTGTCAAGCCAACAGCCACAATCTGGTCATCTGCTCTCCGTTCTTATTGCCCACCGACGGCAACGCACAGAAATTGGGAAAGTACTGGCGTAGTAGTTCTTGCCGGGCGGTACACTCAGAAACGAAGTTTACAAATTTTAAATAATACTAAAGCAGCTGAAGGCTGAACAGTTCCAGATGTAATAAAGTTTAAACGTCTCTCAAAATCATAATAGATTAAAATTATTATAGGACCTGGTACACCATACATTAGATATTTACTAGCTTCAGAGGAACTAAAACACCAAAGAACGTAAAATACTGACTGGAATCACGGCGACGGCGACGGTGGCGGCGCGCACGGCTGTCGACGCCGGCGGCGCCATCAGCGCCATCAGCATCGGTCCCCTCCACGCCATTCTCGCCTGCTAAGAATAACATAAATACTTATAAGCATAATCTAATCGCTACTTGTTTTAGTCATTTCTTATCTGCTTTAGTTATATTTTTTACGAAGTAAATAGGAAATTAGTCACCACTAGGCTCGGAAAAAGCCCTCTCGGCGCGCAACGGTAACAGCTAGGCACGGTAATGCAGTGCCTAGACTGGCTAATAAAAATAAAGAAAATCCTTTTTACCTCCGTGAACGTCTTATATGGACTAAAAGAGCACGCACCTGCAGGTTTCCACTCTGCATTCCAAAACATAAAACATATAAAGGCTGTTTCAAATACTCCGCGGCGGAAATTTGAAACAACATACCTACCGCCACCAGTGCGTTCTATACAATCGTTTAGGTATACTTTCAATAATCTCAGTACAGAGTACTAAAAAAAACCGACCTCAAAAGTACGTGGAATTACATCTATTTGCCAAGTTTTATTGAAATCGGTTAGCGGAAAGCAAACCCGCATTCAATCCCCTAGTTCGCCACTATACAGGACTTGACACAGGAGATAATAAAAATCGGTTCTCACTACTCAAAGTACATTGAGAGAAGAAAACGCCTTAAATTGGAAAATAGCAAAAACAACCATTAAAATAATTGCTCCTTATAATAAAATTTAGGCGCTATTTATAAAAATGATTTATCTTCATGCGTGAACAGCCACCCTTAGAGGTGGACGATTTTCTTCAAAATTAAATGGGACCACTATGGAGGTACCCTCTTTCTAACAAAAAAAAGAATCATGAAAATCGGTTCACAAATACCGGAGTTCTAAACTTCTAAAACTCCGGAGTAAACTTTTCGCAGTACATTAGAGATCGCCTTTACAGTGTGGCACCCCTGCTACAACAGCCATATATACAAAATGGAAAGAGTGCAAAGGAAATTTATTAAGACTCTCTACATTACGACCGGTCACTCATGATTGATTGTAAGCATTCTACCGATAAACATGAAATCGAGTTGCTGAAGGGTCGTCGTGATAACATAGATACTATCAGTCTATATAAAATAGTAAATAACAATCTCAGTACTCTGTACTGAGATCAGTACTCTGTACTTAGATTGAAGACAAGCAACTTTTTGAGTCTTTGAACGCTTTCAAAAATAAAATAATGTCTCCTTGAAGCAAACCTAAGCAAACTAAACTAAATTTATTAACGATATCTCATTCGAAATATGCGTCATCACATAGGTATATCCAAAAAACAATAACATATAATAGTAGGGGTTATATTTCTTGAGTTATACCTATGTAATTATTAATTCGAGGCAAAAAGACTCACTCGTAGTGTCGGCGAGGACGGCCTTAGGTGCGACGAGCGGCTTGCAGAGCGAGAAACGTTGCGCCAACACAAGCACCAAGAACGCAACGTAGAACACCAGGAACACCGCGAGGGCCACCACACTCGCCACTGCGTACTGCGCGCGCGTCAGCGCCGCCTACGCAACGCGACATGCTATTACGTTACAGCAAACATCCATCGTGTCGCCGCAGCATCATTACCATAATATAATAAGACAAACAGAGCAACTCCCGCCTGTTCAGCGCGTCAATGCCTACACGCCGATCCAAGCGTAGGGTTGTTATATTAATATGTTCGTTGTAGCATGGGCCAATGATTCAAGAGGATTGCTAATCGCGGCACAAGGCAGCAGTAGTCGGGTATTTGGTACCTATTGGTACAACAGATGTCGCGATGAGTGTCGAATAGCCATTTTTGTAACTAATTTGCAAATAATTGACGAACCACAATTTATCAAAGCTACTCTAATTTCTAGTAATAATAAACAAATCATCTAGGTGGTGCTTATTCCAAAGATTTTTACGGACATTGCCGGCTATTTTTTATTTTGTTTAGGATTGGCGCGACCTACCCATACTAGACAGACCTTTTTCGGAGTTACGATCTGTAGTAGGTATGTAGTACGTAGTATGGTATGCAGTCCTCTTGAATTACTGGTCCATGGTTGTAGGTAAGTAAAACATTTATCACAGTATTTTCTTGCTATATTGAAACAACATTTGTCAGATGCAGTACGTACCTACATATCGCGAATTATGGGAGTATGATTATGAAATAGAAATTAAATTGAGGCTTCTTGTTCAAACAACCATAAACTCGACAATATACACGTCTGCTATTTGATGTCATTTTCTAAACACCAAGCGAACGCTTTAATTGTATACAAATCTCAGATAAGTAAGCGTCGTATTCTGACATATCATGGGTATCGATTGCGAGAAGACGCGAGTAGAGTTGACTCGTCAGTAGTGGATAGTGTTGGTTCGGTGGATGAACAGGTCGAGGTGTTTACGTCGCTATTGACTTACCTTTATATGACGTACATGCATCAGTTCGACCTGTTAGTATCAGGCATCGTCCTGCACCGTGGGGGAGAAGAATCTTGCGAAAGCCAGGTACAAAATTGAACCATCTAATGCAAAATGCAAAAAATGTCACCGAGTCAGAAATCGCTGCGACACATTGATTAGGGAAGTTCAGCGACGCCACATCCACACGTCCATCGAAAATGGTAACCCCACTAAAATTTGGAATTTTCTTAAGTCGCTTGGAGTGGTAAATCTCATAGCAATAATTATTCTCTAGACCTGAACCTAGATAACCTTAACAATCATTTTTCATCTGCGCCTGTCTTTGGCTATTCAGTCAAGGACAACACTTTGCAATACATTTCATCATTACCAACTCCTGACTATGCCTCTTTTGTTTTAGCTCTGCCCAATACCAGTAAGCTGCCTTGGACTCGGTGGAGCGAAAAGCAAAGAGACTTATTAACAATAATTCTGTTGTGAAGTCGAAGCTTCAAAATCTCGACTTTCGCAGAAAAGTAGCCTGCTTGTCGCTTTTCTATCGGATACATTTCGGGGAGTGTGCGCAGGAACTTTTCAAATTGGTTTCGCCCTCACCGTTCCTCCTTCGGTCGACTAGAAGGTCCGGAGCTCTCCATTCTTATGTCGTTGATATTCCAGCTACTCGCACTAAGCGCTTTACTTCTTCATTTCTGATGCGTACAGCAAAGGAATGGATTGCTCTTCTAGCATCTGTGTTTCCCGAAAAGTACAATCTGGGGCTATTCAAGGCTAGAGTGAATACGCATTTTTTAGGCAAACGCGTCCCATCGTCGCTTAACATCAGGTGAGATTGTGGCCAAGCGTGTGTCTATTATATATATATATATATATATATACATATATATATATATATATATATATAAAGCTTTCGCCTACAATGCAGTAGGCAGTGATTGCATTAGTCATAATATGATCATTTCTATCCCCGATGTCTTCACTCTCGTCGTTACTAAAATCCAATAAATCGGACTCTACCTGCGCTTTCCCATGTGCCTGGAAAGACTCTTACGTAATTCCACTACCAAAAAAAAACAAACCAACACCCCTTCATTGTACCGTCCTATGTCAATTCACTTACGTGTATATAATGAGAATTATTTCGCTACGTGGTGCCATATCTCCGCCGGAGTTCCGCAAGGTGGCGTCCTTTCTTCTCTTTTATTTTCTTTGTTTATTAATTCTATCACACAGTCCCTCAGTTCTTCCTATCATCTTTATACTGATGACCTCCAAAGGATGGCGAAAGATGCCCCAATAACGACGAATTGCCGTCCATGAACTTTGCTAGTATAATTTTGCGTTTTAGTTTATCCCTAACTCTCAAAATACTTTTGTGTGTTTTTAGAAATCGGGAATAAAGAAATTGTAAAACATTGTAAAATACAATAACCTAATTCGACCACAGGTTAGGTAACGTTCTTGTACGTACCTTTCATTTTAAGCATGATTGAGCATTTCATTGCTGCAGAACATGTATATTAAATGTGGCAGGTTTGGCATATTTGGGAATATTCGGGAAGAATTTTGTTATTTTTGGGAACAAACTGAAAACTTGTTGTTTACTACGAACAAACATCTGAAGCAAAATATAGGACAATGTTATAAACATGACCTGTATCAACTTTATAAACCTAGCTTCTACTGACAGTACCTACTCAATTAGCTTTTTTGATGCTTTGATAATGAATCACAAGTACTGAGAGGTCTCTTTAATGCACGTCGTCAAAAACACTGGGTCAGAAAATACACGTGATGTTGCCACCTTCTTTACACCTTGTCGTCTTTTTAAGTCTTAGCTCATGCCATTAATGGTACCAATGGTGGACTTTCAATCCATTCGTCAATGGAGTCAGTCCTTTGGCCCTAAAGTTAACCCACGAAGGTGTTTGGTGCATATTTTTCTCTGAGTAGGCTTGAAAACTATTTGCCAACTAAAACTAAAATTACTCTGGTCCAGAGCATTTTCATTCCGATACTGGACTATGCAGATGTTTGCTATTTGGATTTGTCAATCACCCTGCTGAATAAATTGGAAGGGCTCTTAAATATGTACGTTAGGTTCATCTTCAGACTTCGTAAATTTGACCATGTCTTCCATTCCGCGCACAACTTAAATGGCTGCCCATTCACGGGCGGAAAGATCTTTATATCCTTTCCTTCTTTTCTCAATTCTTGTCTTAAAGATCGCTTCACTTTCCGCTCTTCTACACTTTGCCCTCTCCTTCGCTCCTCTGATACTCTCATACTAAACATGTCTATATCTCTAACTTTTGTTTTGTTTGTGAAATTCTCTCCCTGAACCGATTCGACGATCCCCTTCTCTTGATTCCTTCAAACAACTTGCCAAGGATCACTTCCTCAACTCCTAAGTTCCGCCTATCCTCTACTATCCTTTCGTTTATTTCCTATACCTATTTGTACTTATTTTTCTTTTCCCCTTAAAAGTATACCTATAAGAATTTAAAATTAATATTATTTTATTTATTGTTATGTATTAACATTATTTGGTGTGTACCATAGATATAGAAAAATAGGGGAGATTTGGTATGGGGGCGTGGTATGGTGTGTACATATCTATCTATTATATTTTGTTCTGTATATTATATTTTTACTATTACTTATTATGCAGTGTACTTATGATGATATTGTTTGGTTGCATCTCTTTTACATATCCCAAAGGTCTATTCAAAGGTTGCCTGTAAGAAATTGCTACATTGCAATAAGCCCGCTGTTACCACTATTATACTAAAGTTAAATTGTATTGTATTGTAAGTGTAATTTTGTGTGCAATAAAGATTATTTCATTCATTCATTCATATCTTTGTAGATCCGAATGAAATATATTTGAATGATATATATGATAGGTAAGGTTGGCATAAGTATGTTACTAAACATGAGAGTGTGTTTTGAATTTGTAGCCATGTGTTATTTTCATTTTTTTTTTTACATACAACTCGCGCTGTTTCGTTTGTTTGGCGTAACTCTGCTTGTCTTATGTCTCCTATGATCATTGCCGAGTTAAATTTACCGCGACAGTGACAGTGAAATTCTTCCGGCGCGACAGTGGGTCCACATGCGCGACGGCGTCCACCTCGGCCTCATTGAACGTGGCCTCCCACAGCCACTCAGGCTCGTGCTCAGGCTCGCCCGCGTCGTCGCCGGTGCACGCCACGTCCGACTCCTCGACCAGCGCAACAACGAAGAAGCCGTGTGGGAACTGGCTGCGCTGCAACACACGGGCTCAAATAGGCGGCGCGTTGTTGAGCGCGCAGTGTACGTACGTCGTCCTTCTAATAGTCCTTACCGCGAGCTGCACTGCGCCTGAGCGCATCATGGACATGCGCAGGCTGCGGCGCTTCTCCTCCGCCAATGACTCGCCTACCGGACACTGGAACACATCCACGGGATCTACTCTCCATCTCCGTCCGAAACAGTTACTGCCAAATAAGCAATGACCAAATGAAAAGACGCGTGATGCGAATGAAGCTTCATACTGGATACTTGTCTTTTTAATTTTGTCGAATATTACTTATTTGACAGTAATTGTTTCGGACGGATGTCCGACGGAGATCGAGAGTAGACCTCCACATCCCAGCATATTACTGGTCATCTTTATTTATACAACTACTTTTTATTTTTCTAATTCATTTATTCAGAACCATCAGAAAGTCCACCAAAGTACTAATGCTAAGAGGTGCAAAAAAATTTTTTGAGATACTGCTAGGTAGGTATGAAAAGTAAATGTGTCTGAAATAGGTACGGCTTACCGAATTGTTTTGCACAGACACGGTGGCGCAAGTGTCGTCGTCAGACGCGATCACCAGTCGCACGTGGTCCTGGCCCTCCAAGAACTCGTACAGGTACGCGCGAGGGGATGTCTGCACAAAATACCCTTCAACTTCCATAAAGCAAACCATTTTCACTTCTACGGACTCAGACGGTCACAGGTGCTAATATAGTAACTATGCTTCTTCATGGGTGTATTATTCATTCTGCTGTTCCCCAAGGTTCATTATTAGGATTTCTTTTATTTGCGATTATTATTAATGATAGCGGATTGTGTTTTTTAATTCTAAATTTTTATTATTCACGGATGACAATGAAAGTTTTTTAAGTTGTTAATAATATCTCAGACGCGGTTCTTTTACAAGCGGATCAAGAAAGACTGGACATTATATTGTAATATATAATAAAATGTTATTACAATATTTTACTCGAAAGCGAAATATTTTTAATTTTATTTACAAAACAAAACGAAATGTTATGCTAATAGGAACGCATCTGGATCAGATTTGGGAGTTATACTTGACAGTAAACTATTATTTGATCAGCATTGTTGGTAAGCCTTTTTGCTGACACACCTACGTATGTCTGTGATTATTTCGAATTTTGATTTAAGTTTTTGAAATGTTCCTTGTCACGACGACTTAAGAAAATATACATTGTTTTTCTTCATCACAGCAACTTGAGTTGTTTTTATTTTTGCCGAGATTTCCTGGGATAAAAGACTTCTGTCTTTACAAGCATATTTCTTATATATATGTTAAAGCGTAAAAAGCTCTAGGATTCATCATTCGTACCTCAGAACGGTTTAAAAATATGAAACTCCTGAAAATTCTTTATTGCACTTATGTTCGTAGCCATCTTGAGTATACACCGCAAATTTGGAATCCCTGCTACCGTACTTACACTAACAGCGTTGAAAAAAATTGTTGATTTCAGAAAGCCGATTTCTTGTCGAAATGGATTGCGAGATCCTTGATCGATGTCTTACGTGCAAGAATTGTTCTTAAAAGTATAGTCAAAAATGATTTTATGAATGTTTTTGTAAAAGTAATCACCACACATATATTGACATAAAGAAACATACGGCTTAATTAAAGTACACCAGTCAACAACGGAGTCTAGACATCGCTGTAAATCAAATGCATCTTCCAATCTAGTAATTAATATTAGAGTAAATCTAAGAAGAGAAGTAAGAAGTAAGACCATCGACATAGAGTAAGCATTTACAGGACAAGCGGTCAATAAGGTCATTCATGAAAGCCACGAAAAACACCTAGCGAGATGTGAGCATTGAGGAACCCCTGATGTTACCCGAACTGGCGAGAAGAATTCGCCATTCAATGCTTCAAGCTGGCTTCTATTAGAAAGGTAGAGTGTTACCTTACTGAGGTGCAACTCTATGGCTTTTTGCCATGGATTGTTATTACGTTGTGTCACGTACGATTTTAAAGCTGAATAAAGCTAAGTTTTGTGTTGGTTTGTCTTTTAATATGTATCACCAACGTAGCAAGTCTCCATGATTTCCAAAAATGCACAATTTGCTTATACATAAATCAAGGACTAGATACACCATTGCAAGAAATTTAATCTGTTACCTTCTATTATGTGTCTGCGGACAAATATAGCTGATGCCTGTTTTTTCTGAACATTGCACAGTGCACGGTGTATGGTTGTTTGCCAAGAGCTCATCAGTAGTGTCATACTCGAAATTCCAGTTACAAAATTTCGTAAGTATAATTTTAGAATGAATAGTTACCTACCAAGACCATTAACATTGTTTAACCAACTCAATGATGACGGTCGGATAGACCTTTTCTGCAATAGCGTTCAGAATATAAAAACAGTTACGATTAATAACTTCTTGTCGAGTGACCGATAGGCGAATGTTGCGTTCTCGTAGATGCGGCAAATTGTGTCATTGTAATGTTATTTTCTTATGGTCACACGTGGAAGCTTTTCATTGGCATATGATGATGATATGCAAAAGTAGCTGGAATCCTCCCTAATGAAATAAGATATCGACCTGGTCGACGGCGAAGCGATGATCGCTCTGGAAGGGCAGCCGCCAGTCGCGCAGCGGCGTCGCGCGCATGTCTAGACGCACGCTCGAGCGACAAGCCGACGACACGTGTAGGGAGAACGCGCCACGCACTGCGAGTGCGCTATCGTCTGCTGTAATTTCGGAGAGCTATTGCACGTCTTCGCTGCAGAGTTACGAGCGCCTACGACAGATGCGCGAAGAAGACTGACCGCAGTCGGGCGAATCAACGGCATTGACGGCGTAGGCGTCGTAGCACAGCGTGCGCGTGAGCTCGTAGAACGTGTACCGTCCGCTCGCGGAGAGGTACGGCAGCTGCCAGGTGAGGGCGCCGCTGCGCTGGCGGGCCGTGAGCAGGAGCGGCTGCGCCGGCTCGCCGCCCGAGCTGCGCACCCACAGCCGCGTCGGCCACGCGCCCTCGTCGTCTTTCTGTGCAACAAATTCACATCTGCGCGTTGATAAATGCTTACCTATGTAATAAAAATCTATTTCTATTCGAAATTAGCAATGATGGTGCTGATGGTGATTTTTCATAAGCTGCTGAAATGACAATTACTTAACTCTTTTTACATAACTACTCATCAAGAAAGTGAGCTCATAATTATTTACTCCTGACTACACAAAATCTGTGCTGTAAAATTTTGGCTTATATTTTAAAATGACTAATAATTGATTCATTGCCCGTGGTGCTACTGCGTAGTCCTACTAGTAGTACCACAGGCAATGATTATTGTCCGTGGTCCTACCAGTAGTACTACGTAGGGTGAATAAGACTGTAAATGTTCATTTTTATGTTTATCTGTAATTGAACACAAACACGTTCGACACGTTTTTCATTATTACTTTATATATAATAACTGCCTCCGTGGCCGAACGGTTACCATGCCGGACTGCCACGCAGAGGTCTCAGGTTCGATTCCCGGGCCGGGAGAAATATTTGTATGGCCTACATTTATTTCTCTCGTGAGTTTGGGTGTAATTTGTGGTTGTCTACGTGTGTGTCCATGGCACCCGCGACACAGGGTTTCCCTAGTGCGGGGCTATGTCGAGTGTGTGCGTTATTATTATTATAGGTACATATACCAATAACCTCTTAAATATCTTTCAATAACATTATATTCACAAGATATAATGTACGTTCAAGGTAAAAAACGTTTTTTTTTAAATCGCGCGTCATTTTCATTAATGAGGCGTAGATGATTATGATTTTCTTCGACAGAATGCATATTTCGAAAACTTGGTAAGAAGTAAAACACAATGGAAAAGGAAAACAAATTTATTTTATTTTTAAACAAATGTAAAATATCGAGTTCTTAGGTTTTCGCGATTGTTACACATAGGAAATGAAACTATTTTTCCGGATTTAAATCGCGTATATTTGTTTTTTCAAACAAACCGACCTTTCGGGCTCTTTACAGGTCCCATGGTCACGGTTGACTGAGGTGGTACAGTCTTCAACCAGTTATGTCTAATATTAATGCAAACCACCCTATTTTTATTGTAACTATAGTGAAAAAAGGTCGCCGCAGGACAGGCTTAGCCTAGTGTGGGACCACCTGTAATGACATACAATGTTTTCAAGCGGCATCGCGTTAACAATGCATGTTTTTGTTAATATTTAACACACACTTAAGGTTCATTTAGCATAAGTATCTTGTTCTTTTCTTAAAAATGTAAATATGTAAAGTGTTTTATTTTTCTGTGTGTTTGTGATGCCAATAAACATATTCTTATTCTTATTACAAAATTGAAGACTCCGTGTTAGACAAAGATGTATGGAAAGTCGAGACGGCTCGAGAATCCACACAAATTTGATTCAAAGTGTATTCCATATTTATGTAATGTATGGCATTGAAGTTTATTTGAAAAGAGCAATCCCTAGAGTTTCTTGCTCGTTCTTCTCAGGGAGGTCAGCGCAGTGAACGAGCAGTAGCTTAAAAAATGACGTTTTCAAATATAAAGTTTTACCAATGGAATAAATTATTGCTTGACTTTGATATTCGTTGTTTCCCTGTCCTTTGATAAATCTTAAGTTTACTGACGAGCTGGTTCTAGTTTCGGAGAGCATCGAGGATATAGGAGGAACAACGATGCTAGAGGATTTGAGGGTAGAATTCGAGTTTAAAGTGCAATATTTTAATAAAAGTCCTTTACTTTGGATGCATGTTTTAAACTGTCTTTCCAAAAAACAATCTTCGCGCGCTTTAACAAAGTTATAGCGTTCGGAAGTAGGTCAATGGTTCGGAAATAAGAAGTGAGACCGAGAGATGCGTTCGCACGTAAATCTGTGATCCGAGCGGCAACAAAGCGAAAATTCTAACGCGAATCTGTTCTCTATCCTAATAACAGAATATTCACATTCATTTATTCATTGCGCCGTATTCCGAATATAATATGAAATGTTGGACAAACCAAGGTATTTGAAATTGGACACGCCAACTTTATCATTACCTAGATAACAATTATAATGTTAACTACACATTTATCGGCAATACAAATTGAAAATTCGAGAACCCTTGTCCACTAGTTCACGAACTTATGGCGCCCATTATATTGTTATACTTACATAAATCTGTATTATATTACTCTGCACTAAATAAATGATGAAAACAATAACCGAATGAGTCTCGGACACAAGTTCTTTTATCTGCCTTGTTTCATCTTTCGGAGAACGAAAGAAGCTCCTCTCTTTCATCCCGTTTTTAGATTATTTTTTTTATAATATCAAGCGACGGAGCCAACAAGTCGTGCACCTGACGGTAAGCTACACGCCTGTCCATAACGTTGCTGTGCCACTCAGAATCTTATATCGCAAATAGATGACGATAAACTGCCGTACGAAGCACAATTCACGACCATTATATATAGTAACGTAACGTACAAGTTTCGTAATGAATAAATGAAAACTACTTATATTGAAAGAAAACGGGTCTATGACAGCCTTGTTGCCGTTCAGTCAATGTGACCGTCAATGTGCGGGGCGTGGTGTGGTATCTAAAGCTAAGGGCGGACAGTGTCCATTCTCGTTACTTTTTGTTCTCTGGTTAGGATTCCCGCAAAATTGCAAAATGTACCTAATCCCTATCTGAATTAGGTCATGGGTTCAAGTCCCGTCCCTTCCCTCGGGTCGAAGAAAAATTTGTCTTTGTTCGATCTTTGTATTAACAATTATGTCCAAGTTTTTAAAAACAAGTATTAGGTCAAGTTTACTAAGTAGGCATGGTAAGTACGAAATTCAAACAATATACTCTTAAAATATTTGTATGATTACAGAAATTCTGTACATGCTACGACTAGTTTTCCATCTGCCGAGCCAGCATACGGTCGGAAACTTAGAACGCATTAAATTAACATCCCAAGTCGCCACCTACCACAGTTTTTCGGAAGGCAACAGAATATTATACAAGCAGTATATCCATATTTAATGGTAAATATACTCAGTCAAGTAATATGTATAGTAGTTAGGGCCATTCCAACATCATTAACGTTAAGAAAACATACGAACCAAATAGTGCAATGTTACTGCTTGCTTGCTTACTAATATAAAGAACAAAACAGCTGGGATGTAGACACAACATACAAAGTTGTGATTCGTCGTGCGAAACACAGCCAATTGCCAACGAAGAGTAGCAATGCTGCAGTCACAATGTCCGACCACCGGCAGTCCTCAATCAGCACAGCAGGGGCCAAGGCTAGGTGAGCCGCAAAGCTCGCCATTACCATTGAGGGTTGAGCAGTCTTGAAAACGATGACGAGTTCCATGAGGCTCAGGCCAATCCTGGTCCTTGTGACGGAAACAGTCCTGTGCCTACTAAGCTAAGCGAGAATATTATGTATGTGTGCGTAAGCGCACTCTTATATATAATGTCTCTTATTGAATACACGCCAGTACGCTATTAGCTAGCAGTTGTTCCATTCGTCCCTCCTACGTACCTATCAATAACAAAGAATATTTATATGTACGAGTACGATGAAAAATTACATATCTTCTTCAACTATAACAATGTTGAAGAAGATATGTAGATAATTCTGTCTGGATTGACTAATAATTACGTCAAATGCTGTTGTCGTTAAATCTTCTATATGATGACCGTTTTGGAAATTATGATAAGAGGAATGGTTTTTTTTAAATGTTGTAAATAAATTTCGGTGAAGGAAATAATCGTGAGGAAGCCTGCACACATCGGAATTAGTAGAGGCGAAGCTGCAGAGCGTTGAACACCGCCGTAAAGTTGCCTGTTTGTCGGTATTCTGCAGGATATATCACGGAGAGTTTCGGAATTGCATGATTAAATTTCTCCTTCCCCTTTCCATCACCGGCAACTAGACGTAGACTGGAGTTCCACCCCAATGTTGTGGAGATATATACAATTCACATACAATTCTATTCTATTCTAATAGAAGTCAATACTTCGACGACTTTAAAATCAAAAACTCTCGTATGCGTACAGTTCTAGTGTTGCCATTTTAAAACAAGAATTATCATGTAAGTATTTATATAACTCTTACGGCGACACTCACCGGCACGAAGTCGAAGATGTACTCGATGCTGCTGTTGACGGAGAATGAATACTCCTGCGCGAACGTCAGCCTGACACACAACAAAACGTATTCAGTCACACAGACCCCTGTTAATTTGTTTATGTAATATGTATGACAGAGGTATTGCATATTCTGTTAGTTTGTATGTACGTATATTTAAATGGGGTAGTGGTGTGAAATGTAGTTATTGACTGCTACTAAGCTACTGAATCATCGATGTGCTCGGCTGCAATAGGAATTCTGTATTTTCTCAACTCGTAGTCTTTGGTAGCTAGCCACAGATTACTTAATAGTTACTACATAACAGATACTACGAGGCAAAAAGCCACCTTAGCATGCGCTCAGAAAGGTGAAAATAACGTTGCCCGCCGTATGCAATCGTGCGGAATAGAATGATGGGGTTGTACAAGGATTGTAATGTAAATAAAGACTTATCTGAGCACTGTCGACGATACACTCAATGGTAGGTACTTATCGCGTAACCTCGAGCGAGTGATGGAGCCTTGACCTAACTGTGTGTTGTCAAAGCTTATTTGTTATTTAATGAATTTCTATTCGTGCAAAATTGCTCTGCGTACTTGGATGACAAAAATCCGTGGTAGTGGCTTGTTTAGCACTTGCCGGTAGTCACGATCTAATGTTTAAATTAAATATGATAAATGTATTAAAATGTATAATATATAAAGAGCAACCCGTAGAGTTTCTTACTCATTCTTCTCAGGGGAATCTGCCTTATCAATGAGTAGTAGAGTTTAATTAGTATGACAATTTCAAGTGTAATTTGCTTACGTATGAAATAAAGATTATTTGACTTTGTTCGCTTGTTGTTAATATAATGTCAATTCTATTGTGGTTCAATCTGTTTTACCCCATCAAAAAAGCTATAGTTTTAAGAAGTGACACTTGCGTCTGAACGCTCGCCGTCCGGGCGTCGAAAGCGCCACTCAGAATCATTTTAGCGGTTTAACTTATATGTCCTCTCAATTTACTGCAGGTGCTCTCCCTCGATTGATACTAAACGTCGCGATGGGAAACGGGTTTCCACTTACCGAATCCGCTGGACGGAGACAAGTTGCGCGGGCGCCGCTAGCACAAGGAGTACCAGCAGCGCCGCGAGCGTCCGCAGCGCGTTCATATAGAGTGACACTTCGCTATAACTTACTAGGCACGTGCCTCTATTCACGCACAGGCAGGGCGCCGCCGCCGCCGGGCGTGCAAACCGCGTAAACCGACGCGAAGGAAGAGGCGCATCGGCACATACCTCGTCGGCGGCATATCGGCCGATAACGCTATCAGCGCGGGCGACGCGATAGCGCCCGTTTCCCGGAATCGCCGTTTTCCTAAGGAACGTTATCCGTGAGTCACGCCGCGTCGACTACGGCGGGCGGAGGGGCGGAGGGGCGCACGGTGGGCTGAAAATGCAAGGTTTGGACTTAAGGGATAAAATGTATGTTTTTAGTATCTAGGCATATATTTAAATAGTTTTTATTCTTTGACTTTTTTTAATTTAACTAGTAGTTTCGGAGATATAGCCATTTTAATTTTGTATGAAAAGTTATGATTTTTTAGTTTAGCAATCCATGAAGAATGATAGTAAAATATTCTAAATAAGTCAAAATTAAAAATATTTTATACTCACCTGACTGAAGCAACTCAATACATACTGCAGCGTTACGCCGCATATAAAAACTATTTTGTTTCTTTACGGTACCTGAAGCGAAGCTTTTAGTTCAATTCTAATGTGAGGAAATTGTTTGAAAAAATGTTATAAAAGCTTTTTACAATTTTTAAATCAATGTTCAACATTTTTCACCACCCTATGACGTCATTTGTTTTGACACTGATTTCCAGGACTCAAGTGATAAGAGCGTGCGACAACAACAACAAGTTGTGAAGGGTCATAACGTGTTTGGTGCATTAACAGTGTACAAAATGTACGGCTGCATTCGAACCCACCTCTGTGTTCTATGACCCACCGTAATAGACACACTACCCCTACAAACTATTATTTATTTTCATTCCAGGCATGAAAGGCAAAGAGTTAGAAATAGAATTATTTATTAACTGTAATAATATTGATATTCTGTGTATTACTGAACACCACTTTCTATCAAAACATCAGTTCATGTTTAGCTTCAACAATCACCAGGTGGCTAGTTCGTTCAGCAGAGAAAAAGCTATTCATGGCGACTCTTTGATTCTTATTAAAAATCATTTAAAATTTAAAGAACGTACAGATATTGTGAGCCTATTTATTGAGCGGACTATAGAGATATCCTGCATAGAGCTTGAACGGCTTGTTATATTAAGCATGTACAGACCCCCTCATTCATCTTACGAACTATTTGAAAAAAGATTAGATGAAGTTTTAGGCAAATTAAATAATCCAAATAAATATATTGCTGTTTGTGGTGACTTCAATGTTAACTTATTAGAAGATTCCAGTGCTAGCAGTAGGCTCATATCATTTTTCCAATGTTATAATCTTGTGAATCTTTTCTTGGTGCCTACTAGAATAACTTCTACTACTGCCACTTGTTTAGACAATATTTATACTAACGCCGTACCTAGTAATAAATCTATTATAAATAAATTAACTTCTGATCACTGCGGTCAATTGGCCACTTTTAATATAACTGTTGACAAAATGCCAAAAAAGGATATCACATGTGTTCCGATAAATAATGGTCGACTTAAAGCTTATAGAAATAATGTAATGCTTAAACTAACTGAACTTCCGTACGTTAACGATCCCAATAAATTGTATAATTCAGTTTTCAACATAGTCAAAAGTGAACGTGATAACGTTTTTAGGTCCAAAATCATAACTATTAATAATTCATTGAAATTTAGTGATTGGGCGACTGTGGGAATTCACAAAAGTAGACAAAGACTATATGATCTTTACGATGAAAGGACTTATAACACTAGTAACAGTTTTAATGATTTTGTTAGGAAATATTCGAAAATGTTTAAACGTGTTTGTGTTGCAGCCAAAGCAATGTTTATAAATAATAAAATAAAAAGCAGCGCGAATGTAGTAAAAACGACTTGGAATATTATAAACAGCGAAACTGGAAGGGTCAAACCTCGTAACTTAGATTTTCAACTAAGATTTAATGACAAAATTGTAAACACAGACGCAGAAGTTGCTAAAATATTTGAATTTTTTTTTTACTGACATTCCAATTTTGACTACTAAGTCGTTAAATTCATCTCCTACCGCCGCTGAATCCTTACTAAAAGAAAATAATGCAGTTAGTATCACTAATTTAAGGTTCCGTCATGTATTTCCAAACGATATTGTTAAAGCCTTTAAGTCTATAAACATAAAAAATACAGCTGATCTTGATGGTCTTTCAGTCAGAGTAATTAGTTCTATAGTTGATTGTATTGCGCCTTATTTGGCCTGTGTCTTTAATAAATGTGTTGATGATGGTGTCTTTCCTGACCTCATGAAGCAAAGTAAAGTTATTCCACTTTTCAAATCTGGTAGTATTTCTGACCCCACCAATTTCAGACCTATATCAATACTACCAACTCTCAGTAAAATATTTGAAAAAATTATTCTAAATCAGATGTGTGCACATTTTTATAGTAATAACTTAATGTCTCCTAAACAATTTGGTTTCACTCGGGGTCGCTCTACAACCGATACTGGTGTCGAGTTGATTAATCATATATTTGATGCATGGGAAGTCTCACATGATGCTATTGGTGTATTCTGTGACCTTTCCAAAGCTTTTGATTGTGTGCACCATGATACACTGGTCAGGAAACTTCGCCATTATGGTGTGGCGGGACGTGATCTCGACCTTCTTAAATCGTATTTGCGTGGTAGGGTACAGAGGGTCGATGTTAACGGTACGAGATCGTCAGGATCTGCAATTAGCATGGGTGTCCCTCAAGGTTCAATTCTAGGCCCATTTTTATTTTTAGTTTATATTAATGACTTACCTAGCCTCATGGAGAGTATAAAACATGAGATAGTATTGTTTGCTGATGATACTTCCTTATTATTTAAAGTTAAAAGGCACCAATGTTCCTATGACGATGTGAACAATGCTATATCTAAAGTAATTGATTGGTTTGCTGTTAATAACCTACTTCTTAATGAGAAAAAAACAAATTGTGTGAAATTTACATTACCCAATGTTAGAGAGACGGTTACAAACATTGTAGTTAGAAATGAAAAATTGAATCTTGTGGATACAGTTGTATTTCTAGGTATAACGTTAGATGCTAAATTGCAATGGGGTCCCCATATAAGTAAGTTATCAAAACGGCTCGGCTCTGCAGTGTACGCGATTAAAAAAATAAGGAAACTTTCAGACGTCGAAACCGCTAGATTGGTTTACTTCAGTTACTTTCACAGTCTAATGATATACGGCATTTTACTTTGGGGTAATGCCGCCGATATCAATAGAATCTTTGTCCTGCAGAAACGTGCAGTTAGGGCAATTTACAATCTGGGCCCCAAAGTATCTTTGAGAGATAAGTTTAAGGAAATTAACATTCTTACACTAGCCTCACAGTACATTTATGAAAATGTAATTTATGTTAAAAGGAATAGTAATTTATTTATGAAAAATAGTGACAGACATAACATTAATACGGAATAGAAATAGAAATAAACTAGCTTTTCTTGATAGTCGTCTTCACAAAGTCAAAAAATCATTTAAAGGGCAATGTATACGCTTCTATAACAAGATTCCGGTTGATATACAAAATTTGCCTTTCACGAGGTTTAAAACTAAAGTGAAACAAAAACTTTATACTAAAGGTTATTATACACCTTCTGCGTACTTGGATGACAAAAATCCGTGGTAGTAACCCGTTTAGCTCATGGAGGTAGTCTCGATCTCTGATGTTTCAAATAAAAATAAAAAAATATTGTAAATGCTATTTACAAAGAGCAACCCCTACAGTTTCTTGCTCATTCTTCTCAGGGGAATCTGCCTTACGAATGAGCGGTAGAGTTTAACCATTGTGACGATTTCAAGTGTAATAATGCTTACCTATGAAATAAAGATTATTTTGAGTTTGAGTTTGAGTTATTTGTTTTGTTAAAAGTTTGTGAAAATGTTTCATGATTTAGTGACAAACCTTGATCTTTTCGTTACTCTCTTCGTTAAAAACAGTGGCAGTGGCAGTATCAAAAATAATGATAACTTATACAGCGAGATAAGATCCAGTCCTTTTAGTCGAATTAAGTGATGAACACGAAGACTTTAAAATCGTTTTGTGCAAAATTTTGCTATAATTTAAATAGAAGATGGCAAAACGCAAATAGTAAAGAAAGTGTATTTAAAACTAAAAATTGCCAATGGTTACAAGCAAACATCTTATGGCCAGATTTTATTAAATGTTTAATAGGCAGTAATGAAGATCACCCAGTGCCCAGTACATCAACTGAGTTTGTGTCACCAGAAAAAGTTTCTATCGCTGTCTCCATCGAACAAAGCCCTAGAAAACCCTTTTGTGAATTAGCTCCTAAACAGAAAAAAAGACGAGCAGAAAACTTCCATTTGTCTTCGGACGAAATAAAATATGCATATTCTGAGCAGTTAAAAGCAGATGGGAATGAGGAGATTGCTGAAATATTAGAACATTTACTTAAGAATCCACAAGATGTGAAAAAAGTTAGAAGGTGCATATCTATTCAAAAAACAAAACCTGCGTTTTCAGCGGATGAGGCTTATGGGTTGTTTTTATCACTTAAGCTAACCAAGTGGCAATACAATACATTAAGACAATGTGCTAACGAAAAAGACAGCAATATATTTCCATCCTATTATCAAGTACAACACGCGAAACAGGAATGCTACCCAGCAAAAGACGCTATCACAGTGACAGAAACCTCGGCCAAAATAAGTTACAAGCTCTACTGGATATAACGACAAGAAGAATAATGATGCCACTCGTCATGGATAGTGATTGTAAAGAATTAACACTCATCAGTAAGTGGGGATTTGACGGTGCTTCTAATCAAGCCAATTACTAGCAAAGAATCCAAACAGACGACGAAACTTTAGAAAGTCAACTTGATGATTCAAGCATATTCATGGGAAGCTTAGTACCAATCAAATTGGTTTTTTTCAAATTGGTTGGAACAAATCATCTGGCAAAATGATTCACCAAATTCATCATACTGGTGTCGTCCCATCTTTTTTGAATTTGTAAAAGAAAACAAAATAACCATACTGCGGGAAAATAGCTGCTATTGAGGAAGAGATTGCTAATTTAGTGGAAACAGAAGTTGGAGAAAAAAACATTTCACACTCTTTATTAATGACAATGATAGACGGAAAAGCAACATCAATTGTATGTGACACTTCATCTCAGAGATGCGACATTTGTAAAGCTAGTCCAACTGAGATGAATAATTTACCCTTAATTGCGTCAAAACCGACAAATCCAGATCTCTGTAGATACGGATTGTCATCATTGCACAGCTGGATACGAATGATGGAATGCATTCTGCATATACACTCGGCGTCACAAAAATCGCACCTATCAAGTAATAAATTTCAACATACTTCTAACCCTGTTTGCCAATGGGAAAAATATTACCATGAGGTATCATTTTAAAGCTAATCTATCATATTGTTTGATAAAAGATATGGCGCGATGGTGGGTATCACTACCAAGTGACAAAAAAATAAAAAAAGTGAAAGACTAAAAAATTACTTTTATTCCAAAATTTTTAAAATGCTTAAACTTATAAAAAGCTTACTTAAAATTAACTTAAAAGCTAGTGTTCCCTCCCCTTGTCCTGATTACCGCTTCCATGCGGTCTTTCATTGACCTAATCAACTTAACGACGTTATCTTGGGGAATGTTGTCCCATTCCGAGACTACGGCATCTTCCAGGTCTCGAAGGGTGGTAGGGGCAGGTTCACGTGCTTGTACGCGTCGTTTTAGCTCATCCCAAAGATGCTCGATAGGGTTTAGGTCAGGACTTCGCGCCGGCCATCTCATAACAGGGATCCCAATTTCCTGAAGGTAATTTTGAGTACTGACAGCGGTGTGACAGCGGGCGTTGTCGTGCATTAAAGTGAACCCGTTTCCAACAAAACCAACATATGGTAACACATGTTCTTCCAGGATGTCGGTAATGTACCGAGGTGCTTTCAATGACCCTTGTCCGCGAGCACCTCCTGCCCGGGAGACGCACACAAGGCTCGTTTTGCCTTCCACTGACATGCCGCCCCAAAACATGCATGAGCCACCCCCGTATTCTACTGTCTCTTCAATGCAGGCTTGTGCGAATCTTTCCCCCTGCCTCCTGTACACTCTTCTACGCCTGTCGTTGCAGAAAAGACATACTCTTGTCTCATCCGAAAAGAGAATAGCCTTCCTGCCTTGGACCTGTAGCGGCTCTGTAGGCTGTGATTTTTTTTTCTCGTAATCTTCTAATCGTGGAGACGCTTACAGATCTCCTGCGAGTTGATTGGAGTTGCTGTTGTAACTCAACAGCATTGGAAAATCGATTGCGCAACGACGTCGACACAATGAAGCGATCATCTCGCTCTGACGTACAACGTTGCCTCCCAGATCCACGTCTTCGGATGTGTTCGCCAGTCTCTTGGAAACGTTGCAATACTCGCCGAACGGAAAAACGGCTTAGGTTTAGTTGTCGAGCAACATCACATTGCCGCATCACTTGTGCGGCTTCATCAGCAGTGGTATCCATCTTAAAAGAGTTTTTTCTGGCAGCAGTTGTTCACGTGTGTTGTCTTCAAACTCTGGATAGTGAATGACTCACATTTTACCTAAATCGGGCGCTTTTATAGCCCAGTAGAGTAGCGCAATTAGTGTACCCTCTAACGAGTAGTTCGGCAATTTTATTTTGCAACGCCGCTGTACTCGACGTGTATGTTAGTTTTTAAACCAAATGTATGTTAAGTTAGAGTTTATTATACATATTTTCATTATATATAAATATTAATTAGGTTAAATGTATGTGTAAATGACTAGGTACGCTTGAAACTTATTTTCACTGAGGTGCGATTTTTGTGATGCCGAGTGTAGCTTATAGATTAACGATACAGACATGGACTGTTAAGGGAGACAACAAGTGCATCATGGAAAGCAGAAAGGAAAACATACAAGACGCTTTCAAGAATAGAATGGGACTTCTGATTGATGTTGTCAAACAAAGTCACGGTTCCACCAATGACGGAAACACCGCTAGAAGATTTTTTGCAAATCCAACCATGACTGCTGAGATAACTGGTGTCAGTGAAGAGTTAATTAGGCGGTTTGCAATCATTTTAGAGGCAATTTCATCGGGCTACCATCTTGAGGTAGTCAAATTTCACGAATATGCTCAAGCTACTATGCAGCTGTATTTGGAATTATATAACTGGTATTATATACCTTCCAGTATTCATAAAATTCTTATGCATGGTGCAGCTATCATTAAAAGTTTTGGTCTAATACCAATTGGACAGCTATCTGAAGAAGCTGCCGAAGCTAGAAATAAAGATTTTTGTAGGTACCGCCAACACCATTCCAGAAAATGCAGCAGAAAAGCTACTAATGGAGATATTTTAAATAATTTGTTGATTAGCTCTGATCCACTTTTTCAACAAAACGCCACAAACTTCGCAGAAAACATAAAACTTTGTCAGGAGAAGCACAAAATTTATTAATTATTGAACAGGCAGGGACATTTAATGATGACGAACAGGAAAATTTAGCATTCGTTAATGTGGATACCCCTGACAATGATTGAATTAAAACAGAGACTAGCAGTGATTGTGATTTTTATTTATTTTATTAGGTTTTCAGTGGATTAGGCCTCAAGGGGACACCACTACAAAAAAAAACGCACCTAGTTCTTAACCTCTAGGGTGGTGTGGAATAGAGAACAAAAGTTGACATTGCGACCAAATCGGGAAAAGTCGAGACCTGAGAATACGCGTTAAAATAGGAAAAATATACGTCCTATGCATACATTAAGTCAATTCTTTGAGAAAATTTGAGAATTGGGAGATTTCACATTTTTTTGTTTTGTTTCGTACAAAAATGACTTTGGAAATTAATAACTCCGAAAATAGTAAGTTATCAGAAAGACATTATTAGTAATAGTTTCTTATATTCGATAGACAAATCCAACACAAAATTTAAATTTCCAAAAACACCACCACCGGCCTTTTTCAGCCCATTGTGGGGCGGAGGGGCGGGGGACGAAATGAGGAGGCGGCGTCGGGAGAGAAATAATTTATTGAGTACAGCTACGGCGGGGCGGGGCGCGGCTAGCGGCGCGAGTAGGCCAGCCCCAGCTCGGCCACGACGGCGGCGATGGCGTCCAGCGCGGCGTCCAGCTGCGCGCGCGAGTGCGCCGACGACAGGCAGAAGCGGATGCGCGCCTTGTTGAGCGGCGTGGCGGGGAAGCCCACGCCCACCGTGGCCACGCCGCGCGCCGTCAGCCGCTCCACCGTGGCCGCCATCTTGCTGAACGTGTACACCAGCATGGGCACGACGGGCGAGTCCTCGTGGCCGAACGTCACCACGCCCAGGCGGCGCAGGCGCGCGCGGAAGTAGTGCGTGTTGGCGCGCAGCTGGCGCACGCGCCGCTGGCCCGCGGGCCCGGCGATGGCGCGCAGCGCGGCCAGCACCTTGGCGGCCACGGGCGGCGCCATGCTGTGCGCGTAGGCCTGCGCGTGGCCGTGCGCGCGCACGTGGCGCACCAGCGCCGCCGAGCCCGCGATGTAGCCGCCCGCGGCGCCGAAGCTCTTGGTGAAGGTGCCCATGAGCACGTCCACGTCCCGCGGGTCCACGCCGCAGTGCTCGGCCACGCCGCGGCCGCGCGGGCCCATGGCGCCCACCGAGTGCGCCTCGTCCAGGTACAGCTGCAGCCCCAGCCGCTTCTTCAGCGCCACCAGCGCGCGCAGCGGCGCCACGGAGCCCTCCATGCTGTACACGCCCTCCGCCACCTGCGGGCCGTCGCGGGTCAGCGCCGTCGCGGGCGAACGCGCGCGCCCGGCGCCCACTCACCACGACGACGCGGTCCCAGCGGCCCTCGGCGATGGCGGCGCGCGCCAGCTGCTCCAGGTGCTGCAGGTCGTTGTGGCGGAACACGCGCACCGTGACGCGCGCCAGCCGCAGGCCCAGGATGAGCGACGCGTGGTTGTTCTCGTCGCTGAGCACCAGCGAGCCCGGGCCCAGCAGCCCCGGCAGCACCAGCGAGTTGGTGGCGAAGCCCATGCCGAAGACCACGGCCGCCTCCACGCCGAGGAAGTGCGCCGTGGTGCGCTCCAGCTCGCGGTGCAGCGGCGTGTCGCCCAGCTCGGCGCGCGGCGAGCCCAGCGCCAGCCCGTAGCGCCGCGCCGCCGCCGCCGCCTCGCCGCACGCGTCCTCGCTGAAGCCCAGGTAGTTGTACGAGCCCAGGTTGATGCAGCGCACCTCGCGGCCCGTGAAGCTGCAACCGGCAAAGCTCACTCGCCGCGCGGCCCCCGCGGACCCCCCGGCCCCCGCTGGGCCGACTTGTGCGCGAGCCCGAACCTGAACGTCCAGTTGTAGTCGTTCGTGGTGCGCTCTTTGAGCAGCACCTCGGCGCCGGGCGCGGAGCAGATGGGCCGGTTGAAGCAGTGGCGCACGCGCCGGTACACGTACCGCGAGAAGAACTGCTCGAACGGGTTGTACAGGGGAGCGTAGCCCTGCGACGCGACAGACACAACTTTACTTACTTACTTACACCTCGCATTGCTTACGCGAAATGGCAGAAAATAAAATCTATCCATGGTTGCAAAATAACAAAAAAGGAGAAAACGTCGAAGCGACCGTGGTCCCACAATTCGGCCATTCAGTAATAGCCCGCCCGGCTGCAGGAATTGCATCGCCCGTTCACCAAATAATGCCCGCAAAATAGGATAGGTACCCCGTTATTAGAATAAACTCGCCTACAAAACTGTGCAACTGGTTTATCAGCAGATTAAGGAGATTAGATAATGCCTATATAAGTAACATTGCGCTTTGGGCGGCGAGCAAAACATCGTTTGATTGACACGCAAGTTAATCTTTACGTTTAGTGATTTAAGTGGTGGGATTTCACGACGACGCATTAGGTTTGGTTCAGTTAGTGCCCACAAAACGATTTCAAGAACAGGCACCGCCAAATGCTCGAGTTTCAGCGATAAATGACAATTCGTCTTCTTATACCGTAAATTCATTTTTTTTATTCGCCCCGTCATTTGACACCATAAAAAATCTTTCTTTGCCTTGAAGCAAGACTTTTATACTGGCTATTGTCGAATGATTTCATCGAAGCGGAGTTACGATAAAGAATTGAAATGCGACCGTCAATTTCCAACGTGCCTACGAGCCGAGTGGTGTCACGCCACTGCCATGCCAGTGAGTCATAGTCGTATATAGTTGGCCAAATATGATTTGCACCAATTCGTCTTATCGCCTCATCTTTAGAGTACAATAGGACAAAAGAGCGATCCGTCTCGGTAACGCGCGTGCCACCTGTGTAATGCAAACAGCTAGTTTAAATACTTTTATGCAGTGGCATTTAATTCTAAACTAATAGCTTGTTGAATTAGAAATAAAAGAGTCTGCAGTCGGTATTTTACGAAGTGCCTACTGTTAAAAAAATCGAACTGTTGAGTAAAGAAATATTTCAAAACTAGAATTCCGAAAAAACATTTATCGCACCCATACCTCGTACGATGATTAAATTCATAATATGCCTTAAGTAAAATAAGTGTTAATGGTTTTAATACCCTAATGCAATAGAAGAGTTAAAGCCGTTCCAAGGAACAACATTCATCTGTGAAATATTTGTTCAACTATAATAATATAGTAACTGGTTAAAGTGGTATCGGCTGCAACTCTTGGCGAATGCCTGCTTATAGTCGTTTAAAAAAACTATCCGCGGCGACATATGGCGTCCGGCGTCCCTTCGTTTGGCCCGACGGCGACGCGACTTCGTAGCTGCTCTTTAAACAGCTTTTAACTTCTCTTTAAACACACACAACATACAGCAAGTTTATTAGACATCTTTATTTATTTAAAGTTAATGTCGTTTTACATGCCACGCTGCGATTGCGCGTGCGCATGACGCGCAAACAAAATGGACTTTCTATTGCGTTTACTGTTATAAGTAAACGTGTTAGCAGATAGTGTATTCTTGTTTATTAATGTCACTATAATAGTTAACAAAATTTTACTTTTTTCCAGTTTCCGCGAATTTCAAAGCTAGTTTGAAATTCGCGGATGATTGAACTTTCAAAAATTTGTGTACAGCTCTAGTCGCTTCACTATTATTTTTCGTCGTTTATGTGTTTTGTTGGTTCCTATGTGCACATTTTCATTCGTATCATTGTGTTAGGATTAAAGTGTTTTCGGTATGAGCAGTTCAAAGAGATTTTACGTAAACAACGGAAATAATTTTTGCTTATATGGAGTGCAGGTATGTGTTAAAAGGTTGTAGCAAAAATATTGATTAAAATACTTATTTGCCTTATTGTAAAATACTCCTGGAGAAACATGACAAGCCAGGGTCCTGATTGTTTCTAATTATTGGATATTTAAGATCATAGCAAAGTGGCAAAAGAAATGCTTTTAAATTTGGAACAAAGACCATTTTGGTGACACCGGATAAACCATCTTGTTGACTGTTATTTTTGTAGTCCTGACGTAAAGGGTTTATACACTAAAAAATCAAGCAAGACAATTTTGTTCGGCTCATTATGGAAAAGAATAAAGCAAGTATTTTTGATGGTTCCCAAAGCAGAAAACAATGTTTTGAGTTAAATTTACAAAATTTCGTGACTGTCATTGAATTAAAAGCTTAAAAAATAAAAAAATAAAAAAATTACATTAAACTGGTAAAAGATCTATGTTTATAATTAAAAAATATGGGATGCAATATAAGTACTTCATAGTCACAGGATAGCTTTCCGAAAAATCTAGGAGATTTTAGCGAGAATTAAGAGAATGTTTCGCGCATCAGTGTTTACGTATTATAGGAATATCAGGGTTTTTGGGACACGAATACGATGTCTGACTATTGCTGGTCCCTGATATTCCATTTTTGTAAGTCTACACATAAGAGAATAACTTTAAAGAAAGAAAAAAAAATTAATAGTTAATTTAATTTTTAATAGAATTTTTCCAACTAAATAAATGTTTTTGCCTACATGAACGTAGATACTAATCTGTAACTCAAAAAGTATCTGACAAAAATAATCATATATAAGTAATATTTGAAATTAGCATACTATTGATGGCCAGCAAAAACTAAAATATTTCTGGCAACAAATGTTGTGTAAAGTAGTGTTATTGTTAAATAATCGATTGAATCATAATTTCCCAAAGTGGTCGCTACCGCCCCCAGTGGGCGCTGACGTCTTAGGGCGATAGGGGCCTCGGAAACAATTGGGGGCGTTGATGTTATCCAGAAGGTGCTACTGCGTTTGAAAAAAGAAACCTGAGTTATATACTACATATATATAATTTTTTTCCGTGTGATTTTTTGTCTAGTGTGTGTGGTGTGTGAGCCAAAAAAGTTTGGGAACCCATGGTTTCAATATCCTCACGTCATATCCCACATAAATTCACAGGAATAACGTCCCGCACGTGTCCGGGCGAATGTCGCACGTATCCTCATAAATAGCGGCAATGAAGGAACTACTTAACTGCGCAGTAGTTTTGTGGCCAAAAGAACTAGGTACACTTTCCTGTTCTTGAGAAACATCTATTACTTATTAATACAACTAATAATTATAACAGACTACTGGTGTAATTTCACAAAAAATTATTGAATATTAATTGAATAAAAATTTTATAACAGCTATTGCTGCTTTGCTGCGGAAAGTAATTATGAAGGCTTAGTACGTGTGGAGCTATCTGTGGTGTGTATATGCCCGGACTCCGGAGCCAACTCGCAACGCGCGCTCTACTTTCTTCATAGTCCATATCAATTAAGTTACAAAAACAAATGTATTATGCTTCACTGGAATTTAGCTATATGTTCTATCACAATAATTTTACAGTCATACCATTTCATATATGTTATGATAAAAGGAAAATGTCGCTATCGATAACTTACGTTTTATCGCTTATTTAATTCTGTTAGTTTTATAGCTTTTCTAGATATATGCATAGGTAACGTTGCACATACGCCAGGACGACTAGTCGGTATCGGTGGCACGGCAAATGTTTCTATTTCGGTCACTAATTTCTATGGTCACCAACTAATCAAGATGAATCGATTCGGCGTAGGCACCGCGCTCACACTGTGCTCGGCTTTTTGAGTACAATTTGGCCTACACCGCTACTTAGTCGTAATTAGACACTCCGGCAGCGCAACGCACACAATACAAGCACAATACTTGTACGTATCACAACCGTGGTGTTGGGCCTGAGAAGTGAGCGCACAAAAATATTGCCTACTTGGCACTTGTTAGGTACGAAATGTCGTCGTTTCATATTTTTTACATTTTCCTCAAGTGACAGCATTGTTTAGTAAAAAGAAACCACATCTCATCCCTAGTACTGTGCTCATGGGCAGACAGGTTTTTCGTCAACGTAAGTTTCTGAAGCTTTTTTGGTCATGTGAGAAACGTTCGGCGACACACGAGTGGACGACAATACGGGCCGATGTTGTTGTAATCAGTGTGTACAGCCGCCACATGGAGAACGTTTGCGACTCATCGACGGTAAACACACAAGCACCCATTGTTGGTTGTTTATTACGAGCACATTACGCTGCAATCCTTGGAGATATGTATGTACGTCATGTATCTTGTATGCATACGAAAATTTAAACTCAATTTTATCTCTCACTTAAGAAGCTCATTTAAGAAAATTTAAGATCAACGCCGCTGTACAAATTTGAGGCGTTCGGCGTTTGTCGCGCCTGTCGCGTCATAAAATAGCTCATGGCGCATTGCGCAATCAACTAGTTCCAAAGGATTGTGGGATGGTACAAGACGTTAAGCCACCAATAATACAGCTACTTCTAAGCGACGACATGGTTTGTTGTTGTTTAGCGTTTCCTCCCAAGTACGTGAATTATTGCGACGCAGAACGAAGGTCTATGCGGGACGAAGTCTCCCAGGTTGGCACGCAGCTGTCGCTTGTCCTAGGTACATATGATGATAAACCCCGAATCTATGTTCATATTTTAATTCCGTCTTATCCCTGTAGTACATTTTGCACTGTGATCATTATGACGCGAAATTGATGATTTTGATTGTGTTTATTGACTTCGACTGTTTGTTACTCTTCTTTATTTTGTTCAATAGTGAGATATACTATATTATGGAAGGTAGTCGAGTTGGACGTGTGTAGCTAAGAAAAAGGACGTCAACAAAGTAAGTAGAACGGCGCGCGGTTTTCCTGCCGCTGTAGATTACCCCGGGGCGCGTGATGCGTGGCACATATAAACAACTAAATATAGTTAATTAAAACCGCACGGTCGCAAAACAAACGATGCTTCACTTTGTTTACGTCAATCCCGCTAATGGTCACGCTGAAACCGCAAATTTCCGGTACTGATTAGGGTAAAGCCCGGGATTCACAATTGTCTGAAGTATCGATTTGACGCCGGTGTCTTTGCAGTTGAGGCTATAAACCAGATCGTCCGCAATTTAAATCTGTTGGCCGGATGTCGGCTAAAGGGCGTCGAGCTTTGATACTGACCTCTCTGTTTCTCTCAGTTGCCACTTTGGGTTTGAAAAGGAGTTGATTGACGAAGCCAAGGAACATGAGGAGGTAGAGGCCGAGGTGCGTGAGAGCCGCGGTGAGCAGCGAGCACTTCTCGAATGAGCCGGGGTCGGTGTCGTATTGGGCCCACTGCATGCGCGGCGGTTGCCCCACACCGTCCCACGTCTCTTCCTCTGCCGTGAACGGCTTCTGTAAACAATTATTTTAAAATACACGATCCTGCCACATATGCAGGCAAGCGCTGAGATAAATCTCTCATTAAAATCAGTTAGTTAATGTTCGATCATTTGAGATGTGGACGCCTCTGTACGCCTTTGAACGCCGCTCTCATGACGTGCGGCTTTTAGCTTAATTACCGACTGTTACAACGATTTCGTAATGGAATCTTCGCTAAACAACAAGCAGGCACAAAATGTATAATAGTTTTTTTAACTTAAAAGCAAAGAAAAATAAATACCCCACTGCATTTATTACTTAGGTTTTAGCAACGCGGAAAATAATATACGTATATGTATAGTATATAAATATTAACATAATTTTTAATTCTTTTTTTAAACACAACAAGTTATCGAAACACGATTTTGTCCAAATTTACAATTTGCTTTTTTTTCATCCACATAAAAGCAGGATTTGATGTGTATTGCCAACTTCTAAATATAAAAAATATGTATAGAAAAATGGAAAACAAATTTGGTACCATAAACTGAAAAAAAAATTTGAATATACAACAAGGGCACAACACCCAATAAAACCTTCAGAGATTTCAGATTGAATTGAATTTGCTGTGATACCCAAAGTGCATATGAGTACCCCCAAAACTACTGACCATTTTCATGTCACACCACAAGCGTATCAAACGATTCTTTAGCCACAAACCTATATCTACATACACATCCGTAGTATATAAACCAGTTTTTAGGATATTCAGAAATTTCCAAAAACAGACCACCAAGACTAAGTGAACAAATACAAAATGTTATCAAAGTCAAAGAATCATTTATTCCACAGGTCAATAAATTTACACTTGAAAACATTGTTTTTTATGCTACTGCTCGTTCACTGTGCTGACTTCCCTGAGAAGAACGAACAAGAAACTCTAGAGATTGCTCTTTTCAAATGACCTTAAACTGAACTTAAATGCCATTAATTACACTTTGAATCAATTTCTGTGGAATCTAGAGTCCTGTCGTCTTTCCATGCAACTTTATCTAACATATAGTTTTCAATTTTGAAATATGAATTTACAATTAAAATACTTTCAATGTAAGTTTTAAACTTACGAAATGATAATTTTAATATATGCTCAGGAATCTTATTGTAAAAAGGTATACAGTTCTCTAATCTTGAATTAAATTCTTAAATTAATTTATTCAAAATATTACACGTAAATGCATCCAATTATAACTACTTGGCAACTACTAAACTTATGGAGACATAATCATTTCAAAACTAAACTCAAGAAATGCGTTTATGAAACTTTAGAGTAGTAGGTCCATGACCTACTCTATTAGTTATTCTCTGGATGGTCCATACTGAATATATCGTAACAGAGACGCCCGTCTCGGCTAAAGTAGCACGAGACGTGCTGCGAGACAGCAACGGCCTTGCCACTGCCGCGCTACACTGCAACCCACATTTCGTTCACTGAACGAGGCTGCGACAAGGGGCTGCACCTCGCCCATTGGTGCGAAACTGGAGCGTTTCACCGGACAAACATAAATACAAACTTCTCGTAGGTTTATAAAATAAAACAATTTCTACTCACGCTGACACGAAACTGGAGCGTTTCACCGGACAAACATAAATACAAACTTTTCGTAAGTTTATAAAATAAAACAATTTCTACTCACGCTGACACCATTCGCCAAATGGGGTGACATCACGTAACCATTTTTGTGATGGTTTATTTTACCATTTAACTGTTTGTCTTCAATCTCATTACACTCTTTGAGTTTTGTTGATGAAATTGTTGTAGAGTAGTCAGCACAGCCGTTCACTACTACCGCCGCCATCCTCGCCTTTGGGAGTGAACTATGGTTGTGGCGGTTCTGTTGAGATTGCAAGCCAATAAATAAGGAAGGCGCCCGTTCTCCAGCAGATACAGTGCTTTAAAAACTTTAATAAAATTATCCCGAATTACGAAAAGCGCTCACAAACTTCGTTAACCACTGGCGATAACACAGCTGAAGTGTCAACAAATTTTTATTCAAATGCGTCAAAACGTACGTCAATCAAGTCATTGTCAAATTGCTATGGGAACTGTTTTACCGACGCTGGTAATGTCAAATTTACAACATGGCATGTTCGTTTCATGTTTATTATTCAAATACTGAACATGGGGCCTACTATGAGCTCTTAGAGCAATTCTATTTAAGCCTGGGGGCCTACTATGAGCTTATAACCAGCCAACCAAGTTCCATGCATTTCACTTGACGTGGTAAAACTGAATTGCTTAAATTCATATCATGGCCTACACAAAGTTGAACGGGAATGGCATGACAGGATGATGAATTTTACTTTTTAAACATTAAGTTTTTTCTCTGGCTGCCTATCTGACATCTAACAAGAGCGAGATGGAATTGTGTTCAAAATGAGAATAATTATATTTTTTATTAATATTATTATTAATTATACTTATTACGTTGTTTTATAATATCGGCAACTTTTTAATCATACTTTATATCACACTTCATACGCATGGATAGCGTTTTGTTTTTGTTAGGTCACAGTACGAATTTGACAGACTATCCAACTTACAGGCTTAAATAGAATTGCTCTAAGAGCTCATATTTCTAATTTTTAATAAATAATTGCTCTAAGAGCTTATATAAGAGATCGTATTAACTATTGAGTGTTTTTTAAACATTTTAGTTTGAGTTTCCAATCTTTAAAGTGTTATTGCTAAATTATGGGCATGAATGTTATGACAATTTTTAAATGGAATTTTAATCATTTTATTGACCGAAAATCGTAAAATAACTATTAAATAGTGCCAAACTTGACTATTAATGCAATTAATGAAAATGTACGAATCCAAGATACGTTCCAATTATGTTACCAAATTACAAACTCTTCATAATATCAAAGATTATGACTAAACATGACATGTAATTTTGTCATACGACAAATTGTAAAGTATGATTGACAAGTTGCCGACATTCCAAAACAACGTAATAAGTATAATTAATAATAAAATTAATAAAAAAATATAATTGTTCTCATTTTGAACACAATCGGTTAATAATGCTTGAACGCTCCCAGGATAATGTACATCTGTTAATTTTAATTCAATTAAATTCAATTCTTTATTGCATTTACCACAATGTCACATACATGGGATAGTAAAAGACTTATAGCTAAGTTAACATCGCATTATGGGCCCTGTGTAGGGCACTGCAAATTATAAATTATAATTAAAGAGAGACCGAGAGAGGAGGTTTTACTTTTTACAATAGTCTTTTCTGCAATAGAATTATGTTTTGTCTTATGTTTACATAATGTTTAAACAAAAAAGCATTAAGAATGATGAAATGGGAAAATATAATATTGTATTATTTATTTATTCAATATTATATGTATCTATATATTTTTTTTTAGAAAATATGTAAAATGTGATTTTTATTATCAATTGAGTAGTATTTATTTTGTTTCTATTTATTTATAATTTATATCAAGATCACTTTATTTAATTTATTTATATATTTGTGTTATCTGTACCTTTAATAGTTTTAGGTCGGAAATGTGTCGTTGAAATATTCTTGCAAGGAGTAATATGCCTTTCCTAATAATAGGTTTTTTAGTTTTTTAATAAAGCATTGTTCATTGGTTTCTTCCTTGAAGAGATTTGGTAGTTTATTAAATAGTTTTACGCACATTACTAAGGGACTCGTTGAGTGTAAAGTAAGTCGAGAGGTAAGCAACATTAATCTATTATTGTCATAATGCGAACCCACTTGTTACATTTTTCCGTTTTATGAAGTATTCTGGGTGTTTTTTTACGAATTTACAGCCAATTGGAGTGTATGTATACATATTTAAGCAACCTGCGCATCTCCTTTTTAGCAAGAGATCAACTTAAATGCCAATTTCAATGGTCTTACACGGATGAGTAGGATTTTGTTACAAGAACTGAAATTAAAATATTTGTTTCATGTTAAATGTTCTTTTGTGATCGACAAAATTTGTTTTATTATAGTAAAATTTCTCGTTATTGTGCAGTCTTTTTCACTTGAGTCTAAGTAATAATCATTCGTGTTTCCGCAATCTCATTCATGTGACCTAAAATATCGTTTTTTGTTGATTTCACTTAAATATTTGTCTGATTTTACAATTCATTGACTTTATTTGTGTGTTTAAAACATTAAAACAAAGAGACGAATGGGTTTTTGCAAAAATCACTCGTAAAGTGCAATTTATTGAAATTTGGAAAATGAAATTCACACCATAAACAAAAACTGAGAACGTAGACCAAGAAAATTAAAGTTATTTTTTTATTATCGTATAGTTATGTATTTCCTGGGTTACATATAAGTATGCGAAAAAGTTTACACAATATCTTGGTAGGTCAATGACACAATATATTCCTTTTTATTTCTGTAACGAACGTAACTCGTTGCAAACAGTAAAGATGTCATATGCTCTTTCTCTTTCGCTCATTGCTGTACCGTCCTATCTCAACTTGTTCTATGGGTAAAACAGTTTGCTAAACTGAAAGTCAATAATTTTTCGCCGTTTTCCTGAAATTCTGTTAGAATTTGTCAGCGCACAAGGAAGGAAACGTCTGTACTTCCCATCACTTGGAAATAAATATTTTTTGATCGTAAAATCTTTTAAGGAATATCTGTTTACATCTCGTTTTTTCCGATTATTTCGACAAATAAAATACAAACCGGCGAACGGCGCCGCCCCCGTTGCATCGCATCGGTGGGGTCGACGATGAGTAATACCGTTTTTCGTGCTGAGTGACGTCGTGCAGCCGAAAGCCGACGCGCGGTTCAGTCCTACAGCGCGAGCTCGTCAAGGCGCCCGCACCACCCTTCGCCCGCACTTCACCGCTACACTGCACCACCACACCCTATCGATCCTTACCGATCTCGTCTTCCGTCGGAGTCATGGAAGGCGCCGACGCGCTCCTCGGAGGGCTCGCGGGTGGCGACAAGGCTCCCGGCTTGGACGCACCGTTGCCGCCGACTCTGGTGCCTATGAAGCGCGAGCACGATTCCACTGACGACTTCGAGCACTTGGAGCGTGGCGGCCAGGACGCGGGCGAGGTCGCCCACGGCGGCCCGCGCGCCGCCTCGCAGAGCTTCCTGGACATGGAGCGCGACGAATTCCACGAGCCGCCGCGCGCGCTGTCCGCTGCCGACCGTCTCGTCGACCAGCTCGCTGACAAGTTCACTGATAGCGAGTCGGACGCCGACACAACCGGCGAGTCGCCGCTGCATCGAGCACAGCCGCCGCCGGCAGCGGCCGCGCCACCCGTACAGCCGGCGCCGCCCGAGCCCGCGCTCCTCAGTTTCGACTCCGCTCCGGTGCCAGCATCGGCTCCAACGGTCGCGCCCCGCGAGCCGAGTCCAGAGCCTCTGCTGAAACTGTCCGAACCGGAGCCAGAGAGAGAGCCCAAGCAGCAGCCGAAGATGGAGCCGCTTCCCCCTAAACCGAGGGACCCCTCGCCGCCTCCGAAGCCGAAGCCCGTGTCAAAGCCTGTCGCGCACGTGATCGAAGCTGAGGTCATCTTCTGCCAGATGGGACTTGGTGAGTCGTATATTCGATGCATGGGGATATACTTAAATCCTATTTACTACTACCATGCTTATGCATATAATCTGCATGATGAACACATTCATCATCACTGTGACAGTCCCATAAAAACGTAATTATTTAAAGATAAAAAATTGTATCTAAAGTTTTTATTTTGATACTCTGATCGTCTACGTCGATACAAAAGATGACTTTATGCAACCTCCATCAAATAGGATAGGTGTATTAGGGAAATTGTCTACGGTAACGTGACACGGGCACGCAGACGTGGTTCTTGTGCATCGCCGCCGCACCGCCACGCCGCCACGCCGCCACCATGCGTGAACAATTTGACCATTTACGTGAAGAAAGGCTTCAAGAAAAGACTTGCGAACAATTTGTTAGACTTACGAAACACTGTACCTAAGTGGTCTAAGCCTAACTGAATTTACCAATAACGTCTATTTTACTCTTACAAAATTCCAAAAAGAGAAGACGCAAAAACACTAAATTTAAATAAATTGGTAAGAGTTGTTTTGCGGGTGGAGGACAGAAGCGCGGAGACGGCGGAGCGGTAAGAGCATTGACCGGCTGCAGCCGTCTGCTGCCGAGTAACGGCGTCCGCCGCTGAACCGCAGAAAGAATGTGCTACCACCTAATGCGACATCCACCTGAAACGCGCGATTAATTAGCACATTCTTCAGGCATTTTGAACATAATATAAGACCTGTTCCTGAAGTTCTCCGAATCAAGTAATTCCTTTTTCTATCATTATAAACTAGTTACCTACATGAAACTGACAAATTCAACGGAGCACTTGGAACAACGCAGACTAGACTAAAAACGTTTCACGCTGTGGGTTCATGCAACTACTGTTGGTTGCCATTTAACTTAATATAGCTCAACACCAGAAAATTAACACCATTATTACTGACAAAATTTTTGCTAATGTTCAAAATGGATAATTTCATGAATATGAATATTGTAGCACGCGAACCATACATTTTGACGAAATGAACAAGAACAAGCAGGCTAAGATGTTCTTCGATATATTCCTTCGTGGATATGCGACGACCGAACAACATGGATTGAGCTATAAAACCACTGAATTGGAAATAATGGGCCATATTTTATCAAGTTTGTTGTGAAAACAGTTATTAACGACGCGTCGCGTCGTATAAAAATAAAGTTTCCTAGAATATGTTTCAAACATAAAATTGTAGATACACCATCAGAGGACCTCGTGACAATCAACCAATCAATCAATCAATGGAAGGTGTGACTCGAACCAAAACTGTTTGATTAAAAAAATCCTTTAACGGTCACTTTGAGCTGCATCAATAACAAATATATACATACATACGTTTGCAAACAACTTTGTGCGCCGTAAATTCTATGAAACCACTTGAAGGCCTACCCAGATATCATAATCAGGCGCCGGTGAATTTATGTTAAATCATGGTTACGATATTACAATATCATCCTAATTTATAGCCGTGCTCATCATCATCTTCCATGTTTAGAGCTAACGAATTGAATTAGAGCTTACGAATTGCGTTGCGATGTTATGATGTAATTTTTCACCAAACCACTATGTCAGGTAAAGCAGCGCTATCTTATCCGTGGGTCGTGATAATGAACCGTGAGGAGAGTTAGTGAGGAGCTTTGCAAAATCTGTTGCAAAATCTGTTGGTGCTAAACAAACAACAAATATATTTTGCCACAATGAATTGCACGTGTATTGTTAAAAAATATAACAACTCTGCAAGTAGGTACTTGTATTTGCAAGTTACAAATGGATAGACACCTGGATTAATAGCACGAAGGCATTCGCTTTGCATTTCGTGCAACATCTCATACATGATTTTACGGGAAAAGAAAGATGTTTGTGATAGTTTGAACCGCGAGCCTTGCAGAGCAGCGCTCGCACAGTAGGGCAGCGGGTGCGGGCAGCGGGCAACATGGCATCGCTAATTATAGCAGCAGTATTGAGTGTGGCGCTGGCTGACGGCTCACAAACGAGGATCCCTCGGTGGCGAGCTCACGTCGAGCGCGCACTGCTAGGTATCAAGTGCTGCGCTTAAGTTCCTCATGTGGAGCGGCACCGCGTGGGTTGTGATACCGCCCAGCCGCTGCTGAATCACCGCTTCAAGGACTACCGCCATTTGTGGATTGATTGTGTATCGACCATCATGGGGTCCGGAAACGATGACGCCATCACCTGTGAGTACTACTCTACATATACGGATCATTCCTTGATGATATAATTTTTGCGTAACTCCGTAAGAGTAAAGTACCTAATTATTATTTATAAGATTGTCGCGTTGTTAATTTTCTAAACTGCTGGTGCACAATGTTGTTCAGTGACGAAACATTGTTAGCTCATTCTCCATCATAAAACGAAGCCACTTCAAAACAGTATGTTGTATGATGACAACTGTTCGATTAAGTTTATATTTGCGTCATCGAAACGTCTTAATTATTTTGAGCTCGCATATTATTTTTTATTCCAGTTCACTATACTTATTTAGTACGTACGAATTCTGATTCCGCTCTGCGGCTGACGTCGGTTAAATTAAATAGTTACTATCCGCTCGAATTTATCACAATTTTTGCATGTTGTCGGATCTGTCGTCGGTTTATGTCATCTTTGTTTTATGTTTGCAATTGGTTGGATTAAAAGTTCGACCTAATCGACCTTAGAATGACTGCAAGGCACAGGCGCTGGTGCCAAAATTACTTAAATTAGCACTGTCAATATTTGAAATGTAGTCATATTTTGAAAGGTTGATTCGTATGATAACCGTAAAGTTTTATTTGTCCTTATTTATCTTAGTTGTCTTTTGTTTATTTTAGTTTTATTTGCCCTTTTTTCCGTTCGAGTTAGCCTCAATTTTCTACTCTAATCCATCTTTGATCACCTGGGTCAGGAGTCTAGTGTTACGGTACAAAACTTCAGACCTGTCAGTTCGTAATAAATTCGTGAGTCATTCAATATAAGTTGAAGTGACACTCGTAAAGGGAACTCGACTCCCCCTGTGCACCCCTGACCTAATTCGAGGCTCAAAAAATGTAGCACAAAATCCTTTGTTCGGGTAAAGCGGCGACATTCGCCTGCCTCCGTGTTTGCTTAGTGGGGCACGCAAATGGGGCACTCAATTTCCATTGTCTCATAATCTCATTGCCATTAGTTACCAGATTTTACGTTATGCCACCGTTTTGTAAATACTCAAACTTTACTTAGCTTGGTGTACTTATTGAGCACCTCCATTACTTTAGAATTAGTAGTTAGTGTGTTGTGTGAGCTCTCAAGTCTGCATTGCTCCGTCCTTCTGGATTATCCGGAAAACCCCACGATGGCTGTACAGCAAAGCCTGCAAGGTGCGCGGGGCGCAGGGGGTTGCTGGATCGATACTCTACGCGCACGGCCCCAGTGCCATACGGTCTGCATTCGATATTTAAAGGATATACCCGGCACAGTTGTCGCTAAGTACGAAATAAAGCCAAAAGGAAACTTAGAATCTTTTCGCAGTCGCGTATTTTTCTTATTTCAAATATTTTCGGAATTATGTTTGCACTAGATGTACCATGTTAATGAAATCTTTTACAAAAGGCCACGAAACAAATGACTCGTTTCCACTCGAAGCGCCCCAATTTTCACTTCACCGCCAGGGGTGATTCGTTGTGGGTGCGCTTAAAATATCTTTGTTTCCTATTTAGATGGGTAGGTATCGAGGACAGCGAAGGAAACGGCGGTTTAGGTAGGAAAAGGTGTATTATTAGAGAGGAAAAGCAGACAGTAAAAACAGCAGAAGAAGCAAGCATAGAGACAAAGATCTAAACATCGACTGACTACTAAAAACTATAAAGAGGGTCTGTCCTCGATAGTAGGTTTCGAGTCGCATCACAAATTTGCAAACTAGCACAAATTCGTTGAATGTCTAATGTTTCTTCTCTCTAATGAGGCTTCTTTGCAGAAACACTGGTCCGTACAATTTTATTTTGTATAAAAAATGCAGGTGCTTCGTTCTAATCACATTCTAGACCATGTGTGTTGATGGTTAACTTGGATTCATAATTGAAAGGACTTTTGTCCGCAGTCACATGCTCGGCGGACAGGGACAATGCAGGTGCGTAGACGCCACTCGCTGTTATCGTGGCCGTCCGCTCTCTGTCTCGCGGGTATTTTTAACCTCCGCGCTCGCTGCGCTCTATATTATTGTCTCTGATGCGCCCGATCAATCACAGTCTTAATAGTCACTATGTCAGTCTTTCCACGTTTTTTGTAGCTACGTTTATAAAACATCCTTTTGGGTTTCTATCTCTTTCATTCCCTATACAAGTAGGTAGCTAAGGGATTCCCAACAGCAACGACGCGATCGAAACGCCTGCTACATACGTCATATCTTCAAATGCATCACATTACTAAGAAAGGACGTAGAACGCGTCAATCACGTGTTCTGTCTGCGGAATTTTTGTCTTTTTATTTAAGTAATGTTTTACTCTTTTGGTTGTAATTTGATTTTGTTTTACTTCATTATGTGGTTCATCCACAATATAATGATAATTATGTAGGCTTAATTAGAGCCTAAAATGTAGACATGAAAAGCTAGGGAGGGTCGGGCTCGTACGCGATTGGCGGATTATTATGCTCCAGAATGAGTCATAGCATAGCCGGCCGTCGCCGTCGCGTGCACTGAATTATTGGTTAAACGTAGGCAAACTGGCAGACATAGGGTTTTCCATTTCCCCCGCAATGAGTGTGACAATGCCATGTGACTGCTCCAAAGTAAAACCTGGTAATGGACTAATTTTTCAAAAATCATTTTTTAACGGAATACATACTCCCATAGTAAGTACTCACCTAATTGCGGTGGGTGACAGCCCCTTCAAAATTGTACAATTTATAAGATTTGGAAACCTTAAAACTAGTAATGCCTAGCCGGGTTCGAGACCACTCAAAAATTGTAAGTCACTTGAACCTATTTTTGAAACATAGCAAGTATTTTAAACTTTCTAGATTTTAAAGTAAGTAGTTAAAGCGCCTTACTAGGTATTTGAATTAGCAATTAGATAATAAATTTGAATGGTATAGAAAATCTTAGACGTTTTATTGATTTAATGTAGTAGGTAAATTATACAAAAAAGAGGTATATTTTTTTTATAATATTAAGTGATGGGAGTAACAAGTTTTGCAGTTGAAGTGCCACTCGGAGCTTTAAATAGCAAAGATCTGGGGGGCACTGCCACTGCGCCCGTCACCCTGAGACATAAGTTGACAAATTTCATGTGCCAGTAATTTCACCAGCACCCTTACACTGCAAAACCGGAACGCAGTAATGCAAACGTTACTGCTTGGCGGCAGAATAGGTAAGGTAGCAGGACTTCCCTAGACGAACTCATGCACAAGGAGTTCTACTGCCCTTGAATAAGGGCATCAATGTATTCGTTGATTTTATCCTACAGAATACATTTTGTTTTACATTAAAAGGAAAATTGTTTAAAGACAACTTTGATTTATGTAATTGGACTCTCCTGTAAAATGTTGTTTAAAGCACTTACTAGGTTTTGTTATGGGTTTGCCGAATAACCACATAGCCGACTGGTTTTAAACTCCGCAAATATTTAAAATAATAATTTCTTCTTTTGTATTGCTGTGCCATTGCACCATACTATGCTTTTTTACGGTCACTAAACGTAAAATGGCAGCAAATGAGGTAGGTACTTTTTGTACATCGCCGTCCGTTACTGATAGTTCGTCGACTAATCGACTTTAGCTTTTCATTTTCTTAACTCGTTCAGGGACAGTACTTAAATAATATCGGACACAAAAATGTCACTGCTTTTTTTAAGCCGTTATGCTTATATTGGATTCAATGCATGTCATAATTACGGTCTATCACCGACGGCTGATTCTTTTACAGCAGAAAGTACGGCCACGACTGTAGTAGGACGATTGCCGTTATATTCGATTAGTACTAAAAGTTTGCGAGATCACATTTGGTTAAAACTTACCTTTGTTGTTGAAAATGTCAATAAATACATGGGTATCACATCATACAAACACGTCGGTGTCCACCGCCACTATACGATCTTGATGTATCGTCCACAAATGCGTGATGTGAATGTGTGAAATCATTGAATTTTGTCAGTTTTTGAGATCCACATAGTGTACCCAGTACTATCATTTTCTGACATTTAATTTGAAGGTAAACACCGTTACTGTCCATGAATGGGCTATCACGGACCAGTTTCTAATGTCTTTTTACAGTCGATTATTATCATGATAAACGTTTGCATCTCATGCGATTTGCGCATACTTCTTGTTTGTCTGATTTTGTGATAAGATTCTTATCAGTTTGTTCACGTTTAGTTCGGTTACTTTTTTATAAAGTCACCTTCATTTTTGTGACGTTTTTTGTCGAAAAACTTTTGTGAATTTTAATGAAACGAACCTTTGCAGAATAGAGAGCGGAAGCCCACAATAGCTTTTACCTATACTTAGGCTCAATTTATATTGCCGCTCAACGGAATGCAAGCGAATTTTTGTGACGATATTTATTATACATTGCATAACGAAATTTATGGTCAATTGTGTAACGTACAAACTACATAGATACATAGATACCTACGAGTCAAAATCTTCCGCGAAATGCGCGAGCATTGTCAAGCATGCGCGAGAACTCCGCGGTTCACAGTTCAACAAGGTTCCATCTCGATCAAACAACGATCTCCCACCGTTAATGAGAGGCATTGCTAATTCACACACGTACTTTAGAAATTAAAGCACACTGCCACATTCATCATCATCATCATCATATACAGCCTGACTTCACCCACTGCTGGGTATAGGCCTCCAAGTTTCTGTGCTACTCGCCACGATCTCGTGCTAATCTCATCCAGGTTCGCCCCCCAATTCCTGCGATGTCATCCGCCCATCTCGCTGAACGCCCAACGTTCCTGTATCCAGTCCTTGGACGACACTCAGTTATCGCCTTACTCCATCTGTCATCTTGTCTACGTATCAGGTGTTCTGATCTGCTCCACTTTAGCTTCGTGATACGGTTCCCCACGTCCTTTACCTTAGTTCGACTTCGAATCTGGATATTGGTAACACAGTCTATAAGCTTGATACCGAGCATGACAAACTGCTACATTACAGTAACTTACTTATTCAATACCTATTTAATAAACATGCAGGGAGTATCTCTCGTATAGACCCCATCTAGTTTCGATCTCCGCCTATCTGGTGGTTTCTTATTAATAAGTACTGTTAGAAATCTAAACCAGAAATCATAAAAACGACAAAAAATCAAGAATAATTTTAATGAAGTAAAAATCGGTTACAAAATCTAATGTAATACAAAAAGCACGTTATACAAATCAACGATAGGTAAATCCGCGTCGAGGCTATGACGGTCGGTTGGCAGATCCGAGCAGAAACGTTCCTAACAGTACTATCATTATTTTATTTTAGGTTATTCGATTTAGATAGCTACAATTCATTCAATTGTTTCTAATGCACGCCTCACAGTCTGCTCTGGAGTAGGTACAAGGTGGCACCGTCATCTACTGTTACCAGAGTGACTCACCGAAATTACTTCTCGATATACCTAAGCACTAGGTGTGCTTACACGGCTATACATACAACGTCACCTGAAATTGATTTAATAAATAGTATAAAAACTTATTAGGCCGCAGCTGCTACAACCAAGATATAATAATATATATTGTTAGTAAAAACTATTGTTTAATCTATTATTTACTTTAAAATTCACGACTTACAATAATTACTAAATTTGGAAATTTAGTTGTCGATTTCGTTAGGATGGGGAATTTTTTTAAAAAAAAGACGACGCCACTGGGGTGACGGCGAAAACCATCGGACGAGTTCGTGGTCGAGTTCGTTAAAAATAAAAAATAAAAGGAATATGGTAATTAAGAGCCTGCAGTGATTATTCCTTGGTCCTTTCCTATGCCGAATCGATTGGGTAAGCTAACAGTATGCACAATAAAGTGCGATTTGTTTGCGCCGTGTTATTATGGTAATAAGCAATCGTGCTGGAATATGTCGGCCGGTAATGTCTACGTGTAAATATACTTAGATATAAAAAGCACTCTGTTACAATAAAATGACGTCACAGACAAAGGGCAACTTAATTATAGGTATGTTGAGAGGTGTGAATATTATAGCGGAAAATGCTTGTCAATTTAGGCGTCGATTTGCTTGAAAACAATAATACCGACGTACAGAATTGGCCTATGAGGATCTGTCGAGCGACGAGGCCGAGATCATTGCCAGAGCGGCCTTGACGCGGCGGCGCTGTAGACCCACCCGCACCGCCTGCGCCCGCGCCAGCCCCGCGCTCGATAAATGACAAATTGTTGCACCACGTTGACTACACCTTCACGCTGAGATTACGCTACGACAGCAATGTGTCATCATTTGTCTCTATTTATTATAGTATCTCTGCACTGCTCAACCGATTGAGATAAAACTGCATATTTGAAAGATCGTACTGTGGCATCTGCTGGAGCAAACTAAGAAGTTTCCATCACTTCAATTTTATTTCAAATAGTATTGTACTCAAATGAAAAAAAACCTCGAGAATTAAGTTTGTAGCTGCACGAGCTTTGTGTGGCTTAAATGATGATTAAATGCACAAACACAAATCATGGGTGATGCAGAATTCTGGAGCGGCGAATATGAAATGAGCTCTGACTCGCGACGTAAGCCTCACAACTGCGAAGTATTTGTTCTCTTTGGCCGTGTCCGTTACTGAGTTAGCTAGCGATTAGTACTCTTCATTACTTGTAACCAAGAGTCACTTTATCTAATGCGAGTGAGAACGTTTTCTTGGTATAAATTAAATTCAAATAATAAAGTGTATTCATATATGTGTTACGGTGACTATAGACTATAGATATAAGTATTTGTAGGGTGAAGTAAATTTGGATGCGGAAGTGAAATAAAGTGATATTTCTGTTATCGTTTATAACTTTCCAAATGTTTACTAACTAAATGGCATATTGTTGACAAGCTGTAACTATCTCTCTTGTAAAAATGTACCGACTAATTTGCTTCTTGAGCTATAACTTGCATGTCTTTTGGATGCATGGTGGTAGTGGTGTGTGATGATGATGGATGCACGCGAGGGTTGGTGGGTGCGAGCGCTAAACGGCGCATGCGCGGGCGGCGGGGCGCGGGCAGACGGGTCTGCGCGGCAGTATCGACGCGAGAGTCAGGCGCGGCGCGTGTCCGTGGCTGCCCGAGCAGCTTAACGTTACGTAAAGTGCTACCATGGCGGACTCCGGGCCTTCGCTGTGCAGCGTCCTCAACCCGAGTAAGTGCGCCTGCTGTCCGCGACGTCACCCGCCGGCTTAGCTTCGCAGCTTGTCTCTTCTGTCGCACTAACCCGCTAACGCGCGCCTTCTCTTTCAGATGCTTGGTTCGACCCAAAGAGGCTGCATCCTGAAGGTGAGTGGTCGCCGGGAGAGGGCCAGTGGCAGAAATACGCACGGACGGGCGCTCCGCCAGTATCCGCCGGCGGCTGCGCGGCGGAGCTGCACGCGCCCGGGCGCCTATAGCCTACTGACCACCGTACAAAGCAAAGTGTTGTGAGAGCTCAGTGTTGGACTCGGACAGTGCGATTAGCTATCGGTCGCTGTGCGGTTACGGGATGCGGTTTTCGGTGGTGGATGTACCGGGTCACCTGAGCGGAGCGCGAACGCGCTGACCGATGGAGACAGAACAATAATAACTTCACGTGTCAAGTCAAGGTCTGACAAGATAGTTCTAATTGTGTCACTCGCACGCGTCATTGTCATTCATTGCTCGCTGCGATCAGGTCGATGATTAGTACATGCTGTGTTTTAAACTAACCGAAAACAATAACTATGTACGTACGGCACACACCCGGGGCACAAGTCATTAAACTCTCATTAACCGATTTGGAATATTTCCATAACTCTCCGAAATTATTCACCTTACCCGTTACACTCCCGCTGACAAAATCAGGAAGCGTAAAGATAAAAATAAATTAGGTACTCTTACCTGCAATGCCAAATTATCTTTTAATAATGATTTATCTTAATAAGTCGCTGGTGTACCTACTTGAGGTTGGGCAGATGACGGTTGTCGGGTTAAGTCGCATTCGAATGGCGTTTATTCATTAATATTGCGTGCGAAAAGATTGCCATCGGTGGCGAGCGGCAAGCGCATGCGCGCTGCTTCGACCGCTGCCGTCGACAACGTAATGCCAATATGAAATTAGACTTATTTAACTGACACTAGAGATCTGACTGAACGGCGTAATTTATGGCCTTAGACTGACCATTATGTGACATTGTATGCGGGACAACACGCTGTCACACTGTACCGGCAATTGAAGGACGGTTACTAGCTACATGCAGCTCTAGCCGTTGGCTTACAATAACTGGGACGGTACTTGTTCATTTCATTACTAGCTTATTTTTACCGGGTTCTATATCTCAAAATAGAGAATGTATAACGAAGAAACTTTAAACTCACTCATTAGTAGATAATGTTGACTAACATATTTTCCAATAAATTATTTATTTTATTTTATTTATTTATATATTTTAGGAAAATTCACGGACAAATAATACAATGATAGTATACAAATGTGGGAGAATACTGTAGAAAAGCATTATAAATGTACTCGTATGTAAATTGTATGAGCTGTAAATTTAAGGCAGGTTGTAGCTGGACGAATTTAAAATATATTTCAAAAGAATGACGTTAGAGTTCAGAGTTCTTAGGTTTTCTCGATAATATTAGATATAACTGGTTGAAGGCTTGACCATCTTGGTCAGCCGCGACCGCAGGACCTGTAAAGAGCCCGAAACGTACGCAATTTAGATCCGAAAAAATAGTTTCATTTTATATATCTTAGAGTTATTGAACAAAGTATTATACGACAACTAGTAGACACAAATATGAATAATAATGATACTTGAATCATTTTATACAGGAACACCGTCATACGCGAGTCCAACATGCGCTTGACCGGTTTTTTGTTAAAACGTACGTTTTATTGCATGATATAGACTGTAACGTCGTTATGCCTTGAAGATCGGCTAGTAGTTTATTAGTACTGGGACCTGACTAAGATAAAATACTATCGTTGTAGCTCACGTGCTGGCCTACGTCCGGCAAAATCGATTCATAGCTGTTGCCTAACGTTCCCAATTCAGTGTTAATTCTCTAATTCAATTAGAGGCAGTTTCTCGCGGATGAAATCGTGGTTGGCGAAGAGCGAACGAGTTTGTTCATTCGCACCTTGTTTTAGAGATCCAATTGCAGGGAAGGTTCCTCGTATTCGTTTCTGCTATAACCTGCGTGCTACTTCAGCCTGCAACCCGATCTTGTGGCCGGAGGTCTCTTTGTGGCTCTTTTGTTTTGCATTCATTACTTGCGCTTTCGATAGCGCAAAACGGGCGTTTGGATTACACACCTCATATACGTATGATAAGTAATGTTTTTATTTGCCTCTGTGTCTTTTAAATAATAGCAAATATTGTATGTCGCATTTACCGAACAGTTTGTGCCTGTTAAGTGTAATGTCGGTCAAATGAGGAACTGTGGCTGGATTACATTTATATTTACTATAGACATTTTTTGTTTCTCACTTTCTCAGGAAATCCTCACAATTGCGCTCCGTAAAATTCCGATACCGATTGTGACAATCGAGTATTAAAAAAAGAAATTAATGACAAGTGTATAAAGTTACCATTATCATTAAGCCACCCTCCATGACGTAACAACTTAACAAGTTCCAGTGTTAATCGACGCACCATTTTCGCTAACCGGTTCTTGAATCCATTAATTTTTAGGACTCCCAGAATCTTGATCGGTGACCACATCGAGAATTTATATTGTATTGTCCTGTAAGGTGCGGATGTGTTTCTCTTCGTTTTCTGTAATCAGATGTACAAAATTTGTTTTAAAAATGTTCTTTGTTCACTCAATAAAAGCTTTTCTTGATTTGATGAGTTTGTTGTTTAGAGAGACTTGAAGAAATGTTTAAATACCTTCTGGTTTTTCGGACAGTGGAGGGAAATAACCCTTTGGTTGGAACGGCTCTTCACATTTTTAGATAATGATATTATGTAGTACCTATCAATTTAACGATAAGGGCTTTGTGTAAACAAACATTGATAAATCAGTCGGAAGAGGGGCGCGGGATCGCAGCTAGATGAGTGGTTTCCCGTGGCGAAACTCCTGATCCGACATGTCGCCGCTGCCGCCGGCGCAAAGATAACGATATTTTGACTGACAGAGTGACAGTTACAGATATCGATCTCGTCAGTTTCTTATCATTTCGTGACTGCTGCCCCAAATTCTGTTTGATAACGTTCGTAAGAATGTCTATTGACCAATGCCCATCCGCGACACCATTGCTTACCTACAAACAGGAATATATACCTAATGTAATAATCTATGTCATGATTAACTGTTTGAACGAGACATACTCGTAACTTGGGCGTCTCTGCACTGGGCATAGAATTCCTCTGAGATAGATTGAGTGGTCCTTAATTATCTTTATTGTGTCGAACCTGACCTCGTTATCGTTGGAATATTTTTCATTTGTTTGTTGTCGGTCTGTCCATGTGCCAGAATGTACAGCCGCCCCATTTCGGCGCGAGATTCACGTGCTCTGTAAATTGCAAAATTCACTCGTGTGTCTGTCACAGATTATTATCCTCTGTGCACCGAAGGACGATTCGTAAAGGTTGAAAACCCACGTTCACAGCGCACCCTAAATAATGAAGTGAAGCAAGGAGAAAAGTAACGTTTTTGGAAAATTGATGAAATAAAACTGGTGTATCGTTTTTATATCAAATTTCATTTACTCATATTTTGCACAACCAAATGGCATATTGGTTTGGCGCCACGGTGCTTTTTTATCTACATTAATACATTGTCAGTTTCCAAAAATGTTACTTTTCGAATTTCGTAACTTTATTATTTGCGATAGTAGGATAATAAAATTAGATTACAGAATGCCAACAGATTGATGTTGTATGATAGATGATGTAAGTAGTGGCAACGATTCAAAACATAATAAATACCTCGGGATTAGTAATAATATGACAAACATGCATAATCTAAAATTGACATCTATTATTGGTGTCATTAAAAAGGGCCGGACAGAAGCACCAACAATAGACGAGCATTAAATGGGGGACTGATGCGAACGGCGAAAGTGAAGGACTTACGTCAGGGTTGCAGCAAGTGGCGGACCACGCTTTATGCCTCTGCTGTGAGACGGGCGTCATATTATACACATATTACCTGCAAAGTGTAAAATTCAGGGATTGTGTAGAATACCTAGTCGTTTTACATGTACATTACCGGGCTTCTTTATTAGTTAATATTTTTTGAACTGTCATATTCAATTTCTAGGAATGTATGGAAAGATGGCTGTAGACTTTCTTTTCTTTTTTCTGTTTGCGTTTCTTCGACCCTCTCCTGCGGGTTTGGGTTAGGCTAGAACAAAGCTGAACCGAATTTGTTTGCGTTTCCGAGCTGAACCGAAAATTATTATGGATACTGTTTTTTGAACATTCAATGCTGTAGGTACTTTATGCAAACCAAGATAAACGAATGTACCTAAAAGTTAATGGCTTCGAGTTAAAATTTTTATAGCAAGAATTCAAAGAATTATTGGATTTACTTTTAGACATCAGATTATCATTTAATATAACAGTTGTGCTAATGCATTAAACAGTATGCTGGGTTTGATTTGTGTAGCCTTCATATTTAGCGTATCAGGACCGCGATTCAGAACTCCTCGATATCTTAACCGAATCGTTCGATTGGATATCGTTCTCGAATCGAAGGGCGCTTTTGGAGCTATTCAGAACGTTCTAGTTAAACGCTAGACTGGGATTCGGATACGATATCGTTATCCAACAGCGTTTACGGAGTTGGCGAATATAGATTATAAGAAAAATTAAATCCTTTTATATACATTTTTAAGACTTTAAAGGCCTTAAATATAGGAATGCATTAGTCTCGCATTAAAATAAATTAATAAAATTGAAAAATAATAAAAGATTTTCATACTACCTTCTTGCTTTGTAAACAATAGGATGTTCGGTAACGTTCATCCGACAACTGTGTTTTGAATAACGTAGCTAGTTGCAGCCTTTGCCGGTCGAGAAGTAAGAGTAATCGTGCGGGAGTGGCGTCATTTCGGTTATTTCGAATACGACAGTTTGCCGTCGATTCGGTTATTGTGAATAAAAATTAAAAGAAATCATACGACATCTAGTCGGATCGGTCGACAACAGAGTTATCGTAAGGCTCTGAATTGACCTGCAGCTTTCGGTGCCACTATATTATATATATAATATAATATATAATAACGCACACACTCAACATAGCCCCGCACTAGGGAAACCCTGTGTCGCGGGTGCCATGGACACACACATAGACAACCACAAATTACA